ATTACATTACCCATTGTGTAAGGTAATTGTATCACAGGCAGAGGGGAGGATTTTGTGTGGGAGTGTCTGAGTGTATTGTATGTGTTTATTGGTTGTGTTCCAAAACCCTGTGGGTGGTACTAATGTGTATATAAGAACAATAAACCCACAGCTCTGTCTGTTCTTGCTTGACCCTCAAAACGGAGCCTTGTCTCGTTCTTGGGGGGATTTATTGTATGCTGTTCCAGTTTGACTGCTAGGAGTGTAAACCTATTCGTATGGTTTTTCCTATTCAGCTGTCTACAGTATTCGTATGTTTGAGAGCATTCATATGCTTCTCCAGTTCGGTGGTTTGGTGTCTACAGTAGCCGTGCCTGTGTCTCTAGAAGGGGAAGATCTACTAAATGGCGGTTTAACCCCTTTTATGCTGAGGTCTTGATTATTTAATGATCTCTTTCTCTCTGCTGGTACAAATGTCTGCCGACAGTAGTCACTGAACTGACCTGATAGAGATACTTCCTGCTGAAATCTTACTCCTTTTATCCCTGATTCCTTTTTTTAATGGCAGGTCCAAAAAGTGTAGTTTGAAGCTACTTACCCACATCTGATCGGTAGAGGTTTTGACAAAATATCCCAGCATTTGTTTATGTATTGTTGGTATTTGTCCAGGAGATAACTCTCTAACTCCAGGAAGACTCTAGAGCTTTAAGTTTCATTGTACGTTGCAAAACTTCTAAGGGAATTAGTTGACCTATGATTAACATTTAATCATTGACATTAAATGTACTTGGTCAATTTATATTAGTCCATTCATTTTAGCTTGTTTGCAATTATTTGACAGTTTCTATCTAGACAGATATTCCATATGACATTATCTCTGTACTCCTGATAGATGTAAAGGTTAGAATTGACATAATGCATATTATTATTTATTGTTTCAACTAATGTTTTCCTAGAGGTGGTAGGTAACATACAGATAGATGGATAGATAGACGGACGGACAGATTATTTATCGGGATTATTTCTCCTTTGAGAAGGGGTCAAAACAATGATCAGTCATAAAATAATTTCAATACATTAAACAATCAGCCATTTTTTAGTTTAGGAATATCCTACCTGCATTACTATTTAGACATATGACAGAATACAATTTATTTTTCATAGTGAAACTCTTATATTTTCTCCAATTACATTAATAGAATTTGTATAAAACATATCAAACATTACATTCTCATGGATATTTTAATACATCTCTGCTTATATCAGGAAATGGCTGATAGAACGGTGTTAGAACACACAGTGCATTGCAGTTTGCAGTATATGTGGTGATGTAGCCTCAGACCGATCAGAGTGCCCATGATGAACCCTGTCCACTGCTGAAAGATCCTTCAATGTGGACGTGAACATCAGAACTGGACCAGGGAGCAATGGGAGAAGGTTGCCTCATCTAACGAATCACATTTCTTTTAGATCAGGGGATGGCCAAGTGCATTATTTATCTGGTTAAAATAAGGCAGCGGGATACACTATGGGAAGAAGGCAGGCCAGTGAAGGCAATTTTATGCTCTGGGCACAATGTCCTGCTGGGAAACCTTCTGTCCTTGCAGTTACGTGAATTTTACTTTCACACGTGCCACTGATCTAGAGGTTGTTGCCAACCACGTACATCCTTTCTTGGCAATGGTGTTCCCTGATGACAGTGGCCTCTTTCAGCATGAGAATGTACCTGCCATATTGCAAACATTGTTCAAGAATGGTTTGAGGAACATGACAAAGAGTTCAAGGTGTTGTCTTGTTGTCCATATTCCCCATATTTCAACAAATCTGACCATGGAGGTCTCATCTTGCAATTTGCAGGACTTAAAGGATTTTCTGCTAATGTTTTGGTGCCAGATACCACAGGACATGTTCAGAGGCTATGGAGTCCATGCCTCAATACATCAAAGCTGGTTTGGGAGCAGTAGGGGACCTACACGATATTAGGCAGGTGGTTTTAATTTTGTGGTAATCAGTGTAGATAGGTATGTAGATGCTTACCTTTCAGGGGACCTTTGCAGATGTGGCATTCCCCCTTTTTTCCCCTCAAATTTAATTAGATGCTATAGATCCTAAACAAAGTCATAGGTTTGTTCCATGGACAGGGACTTTGTACAAGTGGGGCTGATTTGGTCTTAAGATCTGAGTCAGTTTCTGAAAAGCCTAAAAAGTCTGATTTTAGCACATTTAGTTTCATTGTTAGCCCCCGAGTATCCTGAAAATCTGTAGTTAAAAGTGTTATTTATCTCAACATTACAATTATATAATTATTATTTATTATCATTTACACAGTGCCAATATATTGCGCAATGCTTTACAATTATAAAATGGTGATATTTGACAACAAGTAATTTACATACGGAATATATCATAGATAAGAGGTTAAGAGGGCCCTGCTTAAATGAGCTCACAATCTATGAGGAAGAGGTAAAGATACAAAAGAGAAATAACATCATGTCAGAGGGGGTAGGGATTGATGTACAGAGCATTGAATGTCTGGGGCTCAAGGCTCTGTATATCCCCAGAATCAGTTCCATGGTATTGCTTGGTTTAGTTCGGTGAATTCAAAGTTCACACCTAAACCAAGCAACGAACAATAAGCCTAAATGGCGTCAACTAAATTGCACCAATCAGCGTTAGGGGAAGGAAGGAGTTTCGCCACCCAATCCGAAGAAAGGGCGCGAAACTCGGCTGCACCAATCCATGCTTGAGGAGGATGGGGGTTTCGCGGGCCAATCAGAAGATAGGGCGCGAAACCCGATGTCACCAATATGCTGAAAGGTGCGAAACTTATTTGCACCAATCAGCACCAAGGGACGGGAGGGGTTTCATCGCCCAATCAGATGGAAGGGTGCGAAACCTCGTTTGAACAAGCGCTCTGCCTCAGATTGGTCGCTCGCGTCCTGCAGTGACCAATCAGTGCTTTATTCATGCCGGCCAACCAGGAGAGTGGCGCGAACCCAGTTCGAATGGGCGCTCCCTCTCCCATTGGTCGGCACAGACTTCCATGCGGCCAGCGGGAACCCTGTGGCCATTTGACCGACTCACAACCCCAGGGACTCTCTGGGCTGGCGCACGTCTCTCTCCCCGTTGGGTATCCCCACGCAGGTATCCACCAGGGAGAGCGCTCTCCTGGGCAGCCACAAGCATAACCTCGTAGCTCCCAGGTAAGAAACAGGGATCCACACACATCCACACACAAAAGGAACAAGGCAATTCACAGTTTAGGCAATTCCGCCACACCCTTGAAAAATCCTGCAGATGAGATTTGGCTATTCTGGAACGAGCAGATGTTAGGAGCGAAGAGAACGATAAAGGATGTATTTGTTGAGTAAAGAGGAAATGTAGTGGGGAGTGGAGTTAGTGAGGGCTTTGTAGGTTAGTGTTAGTAGTTTGAATCTGATCCTGAACCGTAAAGGAAGCTATTACAATATTACACCTGTAATAAATTTGATTGTATCACTGCAGGTTGGGCCAAAAGTCTAAAGGGAACAAAAAATATATTTTGTAAATATTTGCAAATGTAGATATTTCTATATCGTCTAGCACAATTATTAAATGTATAGAGGGAATTATTAGACCATTAAAATGGGGCTATGTTTTATTTTTTATTTCTCAATTAAGCTCCATGTACAATGGCAGAATGTGATGCTTGGATTCAGGCAATAACAAATCACAATGTGGTAAATGCATAGATATTGAGGGTAAAGAAAGAAATACAGACCTGCTTTTTACAAGACAGTGGGAATAGCCAGCAAACCTGAAATGCACAACACAGTAAATTGTAACAGGGTTATTTACTAAACTAGTGAATTTCAAATGTAAGGCTTTATATAACAGAACTGGCCAATCAGCACCTCCTCTCACAGAAACGCATTGAATTAGTGCATCACTATGAGGAAAATTCAGCATCTCCATGCAGAGCGTGGAGACGCTGAATGGCAGTCACACTGTGCAGCACTGCCCCAGAAAGCACTGGAGGTATCGCTAGGGGGCAATGTAAACACTGCCTTTTCTCTGAATAGACAGTGTTTGCATGCAAATGCCTGCAGCGAATGATTAAACTCACCACAACAACATTAAGCTGTAGTTGTTCTGGTGACTATAGTGTCCCTTTAAATTTTAAATTAACTTTGAATTTACTTTGAATTTTCACGCTAGTGATTAACCCTGTAGCATTAGATCTATAATCCTTACTAGTCCTATTTCTCATTTATGGCAGTTCATCAGTCACCAGCCTTTCCGCGATGTTTATAATCAAAATATAATCTAATTAGAAATATTGCTAATTAACTTGTGTTAGTTGTATTTTGCACAGATGTCACTAAGCCTCATCCAAATCTACCTACAATCTGTCCAAGTAAACAGCCACCAAATAGCAGGGTGGGCTTCTCCTCTAACTCTGCAAGCAATTTATTTTTTATCTTTTTTTTTTAATGTTTTTACATACCTTATAACACATCCTGAGCTAAGCATTATGTATGTATTAAAATACCATCCTTTATCATCTATTACTCTACGACAGCTAATAACATTAATAACTACACTGTGAAAATGTTACGCCGTCTACAAATAGCTTGCAGATAATTTATATTTTGTGGTGATTAAAGTAAATTAATTAAAGTTAATATGTTTCCTTTAAATCACAGTCAGAATTCTTGCTTGACTTAGTAACTATTGTACTCCTTACTACAGTCAGACACCATCACGGAATGACAACAGGAAACAAGACAGGTGTATCTGAGTTCATTCTCCTTGGATTTGATAGCCTTCCCCATCTCAAGATTTTAATCTTTATTTTCTTTCTTATAATTTACCTTGCAACATTATGGGGAAACTTTTTAATTGCTGGCTTGGTTTCTGCGAGTTCAAGATTAAATACACCCATGTACTTTTTTCTAATTCATTTATCCATCTGTGATATTGTATTTACCACTAATATTGCCCCCAATATGCTGTACATTATAATAGCAGGAAAAGTTACAATGTCTTTCGAAGCCTGCGTCATTCAGTTCTACCTCTATGGAGCATCGACCATCGCAGAGTGTTCTATTCTTGCTGTGATGTCTTATGACCGCTACCTTGCCATTTGTAGTCCTTTACATTACACTTCCATCATGAACTTTGCAGTTTGTCTCACATCGGTTACATGCTCATGGCTGTTGGGATTTTCCATAACACTTTGTACGACTGTGATGGTGTTTCAGTTGGATTTTTGCGGTCCTAATGTTATCGACCACTTTATCTGTGATCTCGTTCCCCTTCTGAAGTTGTCCTGTTCAGACACATTTGTTGTGGAAGTTGTCATCTTCGTGCTTTCCATCCCTATTATACTCATCCCTTTTGTCTTTATTTTCTCAACGTACGTCAATATCTTTCTGGTCATACTGAAAATTCCATTTGCGGCTGGAAGACGAAAGACATTCTCAACCTGTAGTTCCCACTTGACCTCAGTGAGTGCATATTATGGAACACTGATCACAATATATATTGCTCCAAATAAATGGGATATAAACAAAGCATTGTATCTTCTGTACTCTGTCTTTACACCATTCTTCAATCCAATTATCTATAGTCTAAGGAACCAGGATATTGTTAAAGCAATTGTGACATTGATGAAGTCAAATAGAATAATTTAGACATGTTGCAATGAACATGTCCACCATATCTTTTCATTTGTAGGAGATCATGACTCTTTGCTTGGTTGCCAACCTCACTTCCAGTATACTTGCTATGACCTTGGTCGATATCCCTAGGATACCTAACCTCTGAGTGCCTTGCAGATTCTGAACCCCTACCTGCCTTCTGACCCAGTTATCTTCTAACCATTAAATTGTGCTACCAACTGCTGAGCCCAAATTGTTCTGATCTACTGGATTTTGCCCCCCTGGTGGCCTCTTACATACTGAGAACATTATTTTACAATGTGTAATATAGAGGGCAAAAACTCAAAGGAAGCCATAATAAGACACATTATCACAGACTCTCATACTGATTGTTATATACAGATTGAGGGTATAATGTTAACAAGGTCAGCATCTTTCAAATCACGGTATCTGTAGTTGGCAGCTGTGTAATAAGTCAATTCTAAACTGTCTGGATATTATATCTGTGCCCTTCCCTAATAAATGAGAAAACAACAACTCATGGAAAACATTGGATATAACTGATGTAATTTTGCTCAAAGTAGATGTTCCACCAGTAAGAGGCTATTCCCTCTTGGGTTGTACACCATTTTTTTTTGTAATTCTTTGAATCACATTGTGGGGCATTGATTGGTCTAATGACAGGCTCTCCCTTAGATACACCTACAAATTATTCATTTCATCCTGAAACTTATTTTAAGGTTTTAATAACTCAGTGGCTTCATTGGCTTGTAGTAATTGATAAGATAAATCTAACATGTATCTTTAAATTACTAACTTAAAGTAGAATTGTATTTAGCTCTACATTATATTCTTAATCCATAAAGGGTGCAATAGAAGCTCTACAATATTTATATTTATTTGGCTACCAATAGTTTTATTTTCTGGACATTAGATCTGATGGCTATCTAAGACTCTATCAGAACTTTCAAAGATCTTATGACGTAACTTTACTGGTAACTGACCATAGATCATGTCAATATAACAGGATAAGCCGCCAATTAACATTTGGATATTTCTGGCCAATATTAAAACCCATGATTACGAAGTGACGGCATGATTTTGAGTTGTTCCTGTGTTGCTTTGCCAATAACTTGAAAACATTTTGCATCAACAAATAACACCAAATATGACATATAGCCAAATTTTGATCAATAATTTTATTATGCCAAAACAAAAACAACACATAGTAGCTGCATGTTAAGTGTCATCATTACGAAATACTAATTTCTAGATATTTGGGCATATAGTGACTCACATATATCTGTAAACTATTCAAATACATAAGGATTTTAAATTAGCAAATAATAAGATTATAAAATTACAAAACACAGTAAATATACATGGGGGTCTCCACTGTAAACAGTGATTGGATTCAAGATCAAATTAAAAAAATCTAATAGGCAAAATGTTTCATAGTGGTACAATTATTAAAAAGCTGAATTACTTCCTACAAGAATAAAGTATGTTTTATAAATATCACATTTCATTTTACAGTACAATTCCAGTGAATGCGACAAAACCAAAATTAAAGGGACACCAATGCAACTTTTATGAACTTTATAGCTTTTGATCTAAATAATTATTTTAAATTTATGAACAGATTTTTCTGAAATATATATGTATATTGATTTTGCAACATTCTGCATCCCATGTCCCATCTCCCCTGTTCCAAAATACTTCCATCTTGCTAAATACTGAACATGTGCAGATGATGTCAAACACAATCTATATCTGTCTCTCCCATTTTGAATACAGTGTTTCTCTGATTTAACAGCAAATTCTTCTGGGAGTTGAAGATTACTAAACAGTCTTCACAAGTAGAAAACTGACAGGTGAACTATAAGTTGTAGAGACCCTCGTTTTGAGCAGAACTGAGGTTGTGGTCAGACTGTCACTATCGCACTTCTAAACTCTGCAAAGAGAGTTAAACAACCACTAAACATGTCTAATATGTCAGACTGCACGGACCAGCATGAGAGGGTCAATCTTTCAGGACTTTACAAGTGGGTATATTTTTTAATTTGCATGTTCTGATTATTTTACAAACAACATGATTATTGTTTCAAACAACATGGATCAAACTACCTCGGAGTACCCCTTTAATACGTTACAACAGTGAAATCTAACGCATAAACTAACAGCAAAGTCACAAACGAACATGCCTTCGAATACTGACAAAAAGCATATTTTTCTACATCACCGGAATTCTTGTGAATTTCACTTGATTAGAAAACTGCAACAAAAAAGGGAGTTATTATAAGCAAAGATAGATAGATAGATAGATAGATAGATAGATAAAAACAAGGAATCAGAGTACATTAACTTTACAAAATGTGCTAAGTAAATCAAGTGAATTAATATTGTACAATGATTAATAATTACTAATTGGTTATTTCTTTAGCGACCAAATAATAATAATGCTTCAGACGTCAATAGCAGTCTCAGCACTGTTAACAATCCCTTTTCTGAGAAAAGGCAATGTTTATATTTATCCCTCAAGACACCTTCCTATTATGGCACTTTCTGTTCTGGACCTGCAATCTTTGTAGGACCAACTTTCACTAGTGCCAACGTTCACTGGTACCATAAAGATAAATTGTAATAATGGATTTTAATGAGGAAACGTAGACTGACGCGCATGTACAGTAAGTAAGCCCTACAATGCTTCTCTACAAAGAAGTGTTGGATTGGCAGGGATCACCACCATAAAGGTAAGTAAACTGTCTTTATTTTTAAGGGGGGGAAGGAGTCCCAAGAAATTCTAACGTTAGAAATATATGTATTTCTAACATTAGAGTTTCCCTTTAACAATCTTTGTAATGTTGGCCAAGCAAAAACACAAAACAGAGCAGACCTACACGTCTTTATCAAACTTTTCTCATACAGTTTATTGCACTAAATACATTTTTCTGGTATTTCTTTTATCTAAGTTCAAGCAGGGATATCCAGAAATGCCCTGTCCATGGCCCAATCTGGTATAGATGTTGCTTGGCATGATACGTGGAATTAACTTAATCCAGTGTGATGGAAATAATTTTTTTAATGCAAATGCTGAAAATGAGCAATGTCAGGATACTGGGATAGAACGGCTAAAACGCAAACAGGCTTAATCATTGAGAATAGCTTACCGCACCTGTACGGATATCCGTGGTATTTTGATCTGAAGATTGAGAGAAGAAAACTAAAGAAAAATACGACAAGGCCCAATCCGACTAGACATATAACTGGAAAAAGAGATAATTTGTAAACGTTTATAAACGTTGGTAAAAAAAATATATATATAATATAATAACTGTATTTATTATAATTTAATAATAAGTATAATAATGAAATAGTATATTATAAACAAAATAACATCTTTCTGCTTCAGTGGGAGCAAATAAATATCTCTAATGAGACTGGACCATTACATATTTAATAACCTTAATATATGAGTTTTTCAAAACAGTAAAACATATCACAGCGATGATATTGTCAGTGAAAGTGACTTTTTATGCATTTTTTCACACACAAACGGAACTTTCACTCATGATATCATTGTTGTGATATGTTTTACTGTTTTGAAACACTAATATTGGTGTTAAGCGAAGTCTCCCAAGTATATTAGTACCCCCCATGTACAGCTTTTATAGGGGTTTTGAAAGTTACAGGGTCAAATATAAGAGTTAAATATTTTTATATTGAAAATTGCCAGGTTGGTTATGTTGCCTTTGAGAACGTATGGTAGTCCAGGTATGAGAATTGCCCCCATCATGGCACACCATTTGCAAAAGAAGACCACCCAAAATATTGCAAATGGGGTATGTTAAGTCTTTTTTAGTAGCAACTTGGTCACAAACACTGGCCAAATTTAGCATTCATCATTGTTATTTGCAATTTTAACATGCAAACAAATATAAATGCTAACTTTGGCCCGTGTTTTTGACTAAGAGGCTAATAAAAAGGACTGGACATACCCCATATTGAATACCCTGGAGTGTCTACTTTAAAAAATATGTACATGTGAGGTGTGATTTAGAGATTTATGACAGATAACACAGTGTTACTGTAACGGAACCCCCAGGCATTAAAGTGTTAAACTGCTATTTAGTAGATCTTCCCTTCCAGAGACCCAGGCACAGCTACTGCAGAACACCAAACTCCCGAACTGAATACAAGGGAATGCTCCAAACTCCCGAACTGCATTCAAGGGAATGCTCCAAACTCCCGGACTGCATACAACGTAGCACTCCAAACTCCCGAACTGGAACCTCACGAATAGCTGCTAGCAGACGAACAGGAAAAGCACCCAAGCGGCTTACACTCCTAGCAATCAGTCTCTAACAGCATACAGTAAATCCCCCCAAAGACGAGACAGAGCTCCGTGCTGAGGGTCAAGCAGTGGTCTGGTTTATTCAGGGCTTCCTGCCCAGTATTTATGCAGGTCTCCCACCTGGTGGACACTCCCCTAGGGGACCAGATAGGAGACTGTAACACAGACAGACATGTATCACATTTAGACACACAGAAGTAAAACATCCCCACAATGCATCCTAATTTCCCTCCCTCTATCCTGCAGATAATTGGGAAGTAATCCAATTATCTCCCAGGACAGAGGCAAAACTCCATTATACACGTGGGGACACAAAGACAGTAAAATACTTTAAAATATACAAAGTTACATTTAATACATAAAATATAGACATGTCACATATCCCCAGATAGCTGGGATCTGAGCGCACATAACTACCGAATAGCGCTCAGATCCTATTCACACAGTTCAATTGCCATGAAGCCAAAGTCTTTAATTACACGAATAGGCTCCATGGCATAGCTATCTGGGTTAAAACATTCACATAGAAAAAGTCCCGATCAATTCAGCATTCGGCTAAACAGCCACAAATAGAAGCAGGGAAGGCTGGAGGCTCAGTGATGCCTGCGCGTAAAAGTATGTCCGCTTTTAGTGCACTGATTCCGGGCTGAGCACCGCTGGCTGTCCGGGGAGCTCCATAACACCGCCACCTAGCGGCCGCTAAGTGTAACCGCAGCCACCCAGTAACAGTCAATTAAGCTGCGGTTAACCGCAGCTACTGGGTGGTCAATTGACGGCACACGCTAGCTTCAGGGAGGTAAATTGAAGGCACACGCCAGTTTACCGGTGGTCGCGCCTTCGATATTTTGTTCGGTAGATAAAATCTACCCCTGGCAGAAAGGCATTAATAAGCCTTTCTGCAGGGAAAATAAAGTATTTTAAAAGTCCGGTCCATAATCTAAAGGGAGCAGGCGGGCAACCAGGCTCCTCCAATGCAATGTGGCGAGATTGCTCTCATCACAGTTACAATGTCACTATTGATACATTTTAAAAATATATATTTTGAAACAGCAATGTTCTACTTGTACTTATAGCCCTGTAACTTGCAAAAAAAAAAAAAAAACATGTTAACATTGGGTATATCTAAACTCAGCACAAAATTTTAAAACTATTTAGCATGGGTGTTTTTTGGCAGTTGTAGATGCTCAACAGATTTTGGGGTTAGTTAGAAAGGTGTTTTTTTATTTTTTCATCATATTTTATAATTTTTTTATAGTAAATTATATAATATGATGAAAATAATGGTATCTTTAGAAAGTCTATTTAATGGCGAGAAAAACGGTATACAATATGTGTGGGTACAGTAAATGACTAAGAGGAAAATTACAGCTAAACACAAAAAACCGCAGAAATGTAAAAAGCAGCTATGGTCCTTAACGGTGAGAAATAAAAAAACGATCTGGTCACTAAGGGTTAAATATACACAGGGATCTGGGAAAGTGCGCAGGTAACTTTTTTCTTTGTTTTTTATTGTTTCATTGATGCTGAGTATCTCTATCTCTGGTTTGTTTCTCCATAATCCTGACCTTGGCTTGTTTCCGTGTACAATTTTTGTTATATTCTTGCGTTACCCCGACCACTCTAAGGACCGTTAGTACGCCCCATACTGTATTCTCTAATTCTAAAGTTCTGTGTTGTGGGTTATAGCAATCCTCACACCAATACACTTTGACAAATGATATCACAAAGAAGTGCTATTACTATTATGATTAACGTACAATAGGACTAAACTTTAAGTTTTTTTGTTGAATTGTAAAATCTTGACTTACTTCGTCTTTTTCCAACATCACCTTTTGACGTTGCTGCTTCATTTAAAAGAACCATTCCCATTGTGATAGCCGCATCTGTAATTGTCGCTAAGGAAGGGTAACACTGTGCATACATTACTATCAGATTGAAAGATTGTCTAGCAGAACTTTACATTACTTTATGGAATGAAGAATTTGTCAGAGTGCTATATTATTATCAATAACAGTGCCATTTCTATAGAGCGCTCATATTCCAGAGCGCTTTACAATTATAGAAAGGGGATATTTAGAAATGAAGAATGCTCTGCTCACATCAGCTTACAATCTATGAGCATTTGAGGTTGCTGTATATTTATTGTTAGGGACACTTACTGGTGAGGTGCTCTGACCAGGATTGAACCTGGAATTCTTGGTTGACATTACCACTGATCTAAGGACTATATCGATATATAGTGTGTAAATATTTATAATAAAAGGTTTGGAGCAAAATATTTTTGGCAATCAGTTTTGTTACCATATCATTGAGATGAATGTTATAAAATACGTAATTGTGGATATACCTGTAACAGTCTAAAGATCGCTTCTGTAAGATTGTAAAATCATTACTTTGGACTCTCACTGGGTTTATAATGCTAGCTATATATATATAAAATGACCGAAATAAAATTGGTTATTTTAGCCTAAATTTTAAAATTCATTTTGAATTTCTGACAGTAAATAACCCTGTTAGAAATCTTTTTATTTTTCATATGTGGAAATACAGTCATGTTAATCACCAAACATTAGAAGGTGTCCCATCCTATCACCACTTATGCCGATGATAACCGTCTTATCATGTAAAAAGTCCAATGGAATTTCTTGTTACAAATTTCTTCTTTTTTTCTTTAATGTATTTTCATTTTTTTCCTTTATTTATTTATTCTATTTTCACAGTTATGCATATTCTGAATAATTTAAATGTATTCTTGTTATTCAAGAATATTGGAAGCACCTTGTGTTTAATGGGCTGTCAGGAGGCTTGTTTGAATCCATTATTTCTGTGGCACACATTAACAAATTTCAACGACACCCCTTTTTTTATCGCGTCTCCTATCTCAAACCACTGACACCACTCGGACACGCCATAGCCCCGGGATGGAGAGGAGCATACTAGGACAAAGCCCAATCTTACATGGTGATTTTTCCTGAGCCATACGGCGGTAGGGCAGTTACCCTCTACCACTGTTCGTGCTACATAGCATCACTTTAGACGTCCGTGCCTCATACAACTTTTTACTCTCTGTTCCATGTTATCTATAAATGCATCCTTACATAAATTGATATTTACAGTATCTTCCCCTGCGAGGGAAGACTTTCTGATTTACACTGTGTCCATACTTCTTCTCCTTCATGGGAAAACTGTTACATATATTGGTCAAAATACAAAACTGATTCAATACAAAGCTCAACCACACAAAAAAAAGTATTCAAATATATATATATGTCAAAACCATAAACAATATTGTTGCTACCAACTGCAATACCAAGCATCTATGTTTACATAAAACCCTTTATATGCATTTAATATGCCATTTATTTCAGCTAGATTAATCTGAAAAGGATACTCAGTAAAAGAATAATGTGAGATTCTGCCACAAACTGGGCTTGGCTGCTTCCATGAATGTAGCTCTGAAGAGAAGGAAAAAAATTATATTCTGTTACTTTTAATAAAATATATTTCAGCAACTGTAAGCATTTACAAAGCAATAAGAAGAAATATAGTTTAAAAACTCGGCTGAAGAGAATAAACTATGTTATAGGGACCCTCCGGGCACCTAGACCACTTCAGCTAATTTAAGTGGTCTGAGTGCTGTCTCCCCATTGCACTTAGTGCTGCAATGTAAAGTGCCAGTGGAAGTGAGACTGGGGGAGCTTCCAGAATCCTAACGGACCTCCAGCGTCAGAAATTCCCCATAGGAAAGCACCGAATAATGCTTTCCTATGGGGAGGTCTAATGCGCGCGCGGCCATTGCTGCACATGCGCATTAGGTCTCCCCCGCTGGCTGACGTTGGCAGGGGAGGAGTGTGGGTGGAGCCTGACAAAGCACCGACAGCGCTGGATAAATATAAGTGCCTGAAGGGGTTTTAACCCCTTCAGCACTGTGGGATGGGGGGCATGGGGAAGGGGGCACCCCAGGATTCTCCAGTGCCAGGAAAATGGGTTTGTTTTCCTTGCACTGGAGAGTCCCTTTAAACTGATGGCTGCTGCATGCTTGCTATGGGTACGAAGAATGGTGTGTGGACAACCGATGGCTTCTGTGTGCCTTCTATGGCTGAGGTGTATGTTATTTGGTTGACTGATGGCTCTGTGCCTTCTATGGCTGAGGTGTATGCTATTTTGTTGACTGATGGCTCTGTGCCTTCTATGGCTGAGATGTATGTTATTTGGTTGACTGATGGCTCTGTGCCTTCTATGGCTGAGGTGTATGTTATTTGGTTGACTGATGGCTCTGTGCCTTCTATGGCTGAGGTGTATGTTATTTGGTTGACTGATGGCTCTGTGCCTTCTATGGCTGAGGTGTATGCTATTTGGTTGACTGATGGCTCTGTGCCTTTTATGGCTTAGGTGTATGCTATTTAGTTGAAGGCTCCGTGCCTTCTATGGCTGAGGTGTATGTTATTTGGTTGACTTATGGCTCTGTGCCTTCTATGGCTGAGGTGTATGTTATTTGGTTGACTGATGGCTCTGTGCCGTCTATGGCTGAGGTGTATGTTATTTGGTTGACTGATGGCTCTGTGCCTTCTATGGCTGAGGTGTATGTTATTTGGTTGACTGATGGCTCTGCGCCTTCTATGGCTGAGGTGTATGTTATTTGGTTGACTGATGGCTCTGTGCCTTCTATGGCTGAGGTGTATGTTATTTGGTTGACTGATGGCTCCGTGCCTTCTATGGCTGAGTTGTATGCTATTTTATTGACTGATGGCTCTCTGCCTTCGATGGCTGAGGTATGTTATTTGGTTGACTGATGGCTCTGTGCCTTCTATGGCTGAGGTGTATGTTATTTAGTTGACTGATGGTTCTGTGCCTTCTATGGCTGAGGTGTATGCTATTTAGTTGACTGATGGCTCTGTGCCTTCTATGGCTGAGGTGTTTGCTATTTAGTTGACTGATGGCTCTGTATCTTCTATGGTTGAGGTGTATGCTATTTAGTTGACTGATGGCTCTGTGCCTTCTATGGCTGAGGTGTTTGCTATTTAGTTGACTGGTGGCTCTGTGCTTTCTATGGCTGAGGTGTATGCTATTTGGTTGACTGATGGCTCTGTGCCTTCTATGGCTGAGGTCTATGTTATTTAGTTGACTGATGGCTCTGTGCCTTCTATGGCTGAGGTGTATGCTATTTAGTTGACTGATGGCTCTGTGCTTTCTATGGCTGAGGTGTATGCTATTTAGTTGACTAAAGGCTCTGTGCTTTCTATGGCTGAGGTGTATGTTATTTAGTTGACTAATGGCTCTGTGCCTTCTATGGCTGAGGTGTTTGCTATTTAGTTGACTGATGGCTCTGTGCCTTCTATGGCTGAGGTGTATGCTATTTAGTTGACTGATGGCTCTGTGTCTTCTATGGCTGAGGTGTATGCTATTTAGTTGACTGATGGCTCTGTGCCTTCTATGGCTGAGGTGTATGTTATTTAGTTGACTGATGGCTCTGTGCCTTCTATGGCTGAGTTGTATGCTATTTAGTTGACTGATGGCTCTGTGCCTTCTATGGCTGAGGTGTATGTTATTTGGTTGACTGATGGCTCTGTGCCTTCTATGGCTGAGGTGTATGTTATTTGGTTGACTGATGGCTCTGTGCCTTCTATGGCTGAGATGTATGTTATTTAGTTGACTGATGGCTCTGTGCTTTCTATGGCTGAGGTGTATGCTATTTGATTGACTGATGGCTCTGTGCCTTCTATGGTTGAGGTGTATGCTATTTAGTTGACTGATGGCTCTGTGCCTTCTATGGCTGAGGTGTATGTTATTTGGTTGACTGATGGCTCTGTGCCTTCTATGGCTGAGGTGTATGTTATTTATTTGACTGATGGCTCTGTGCCTTCTATGGCTGAGGTGTATGTTATTTGGTTGACTGATGGCTCTGTGCCTTCTATGGCTGAGGTGTATGCTATTTAGTTGACTGATGGCTCCGTGCCTTCTATGGCTGAGGTGTATGCTATTTAGTTGACTGATGGCTCTGTGCCTTCTATGGCTGAGGTGTATGCTATTTAGTTGACTGATGGCTCTGTGCCTTCTATGGCTGAGGTGTATGCTATTTAGTTGACTGATGGCTCTGTGCTTTCTATGGCTGAGTTGTATGCTATTTAGTTGACTGATGGCTCTGTGCTTTCTATGGCTGAGTTGTATGCTATTTTATTGACTGATGGCTCTGTGCCTTCTATGGCTGAGGTGTATGTTATTTGGTTGACTGATGGCTCTGTGCCTTCTATGGCTGAGGTGTATGCTATTTGTGTGACTGATGGCTCAGTGCCTTCTATGGCTGAGTTGTATGCTATTTTATTGACTGATGGCTCTGTGCCTTCTATGGCTGAGGTGTATGTTATTTGGTTGACAGATGGCTCCATGCCTTCTATGGCTGAGGTGTATGTTATTTGGTTGACTGATGGCTCCGTGCCTTCTATGGCTGAGTTGTATGCTATTTTATTGACTGATGGCTCTCTGCCTTCGATGGCTGAGGTATGTTATTTGGTTGACTGATGGCTCTGTGCCTTCTATGGCTGAGGTGTATGTTATTTAGTTGACTGATGGCTCTGTGCCTTCTATGGCTGAGGTGTATGCTATTTAGTTGACTGATGGCTCTGTGCTTTCTATGGCTGAGGTGTATGCTATTTGATTGACTGATGGCTCTGTGCCTTCTATGGTTGAGGTGTATGCTATTTAGTTGACTAATGGCTCTGTGCTTTCTATGGCTGAGGTGTATGCTATTTAGTTGACTAGTGGCTTTTTGCCTTCTATGGCTGAGGTGTATGTTATTTAGTTGACTGATGGCTCTGTGCCTTCTATGGCTGAGGTGTATGCTATTTAGTTGACTGATGGCTCTGTGCCTTCTATGGCTGAGGTGTTTGCTATTTAGTTGACTGATGGCTCTGTGTCTTCTATGGCTGAGGTGTATGCTATTTAGTTGACTGATGGCTCTGTGCCTTCTATGGCTGAGGTGTATGTTATTTAGTTGACTGATGGCTCTGTGCCTTCTATGGCTGAGATGTATGTTATTTAGTTGACTGATGGCTCTGTGCTTTCTATGGCTGAGGTGTATGCTATTTGATTGACTGATGGCTCTGTGCCTTCTATGGTTGAGGTGTATGCTATTTAGTTGACTGATGGCTCTGTGCCTTCTATGGCTGAGGTGTATGTTATTTGGTTGATTGATGGCTCTGTGCCTTCTATGGCTGAGGTGTATGTTATTTGGTTGACTGATGGCTCTGTGCCTTCTATGGCTGAGATGTATGTTATTTAGTTGACTGATGGCTCTGTGCTTTCTATGGCTGAGGTGTATGCTATTTGATTGACTGATGGCTCTGTGCCTTCTATGGTTGAGGTGTATGCTATTTAGTTGACTCATGGCTCTGTGCCTTCTATGGCTGAGGTGTATGTTATTTGGTTGACTGATGGCTCTGTGCCTTCTATGGCTGAGGTGTATGTTATTTGGTTGACTGATGGCTCTGTGCCTTCTATGGCTGAGGTGTATGTTATTTGGTTGACTGATGGCTCCGTGCCTTCTATGGCTGAGGTGTATGCTATTTAGTTGACTGATGGCTGCTGTGTGCCTCTTTTGGGCCGGTGCTTGTTATGTTGTCTCGACCTGAAGCTTAGGTCATGGGGTGCCATGGTGTGAATTATAGGTGCTGTAAGTTATGAATATTCCATTAAAGGGCTGGTGGGTTTTCTGTATGATGAACATATTGCTGAGAAGATTCACGCTGTGTATCAAGTCCTGGCGTGGATATCTAGGAGGTGAATCTGTTAATGAAATGACGTACCACTTGACCATTTTGTGGATTCTTATGTGCATAAGGCGGTCCGCGTATGTGATTCCACATTTGTCCTGATGTCATGGCAAACACAACACACTAAAAAAAAAATAATCAATCACGTTAGCATCACATACGATACGTTATATTAAAATTACATGGAAATATGAGATACCAACTTTCATGACAGTAGTGGAAACTATTGGAAACAAAACAAAACTCATAATATTGTCACATTATTTAATTCTTATTTAATATCAGCCTCACATTGGGGTCCGAAGGCTCCTGAGGTTTTGAAACACAGGATAAGAAAACAGTATGCCATCGGATTCTGCTTTAACACGAGCTCCTTCATGATATGATCCTGTCCCTTTAAACTTGCTTGCATAAAAAAAATCATTTTATAAGATGGAAAATTATAGATAGAAAACCCTACAAATACTTACAAGAGCCGCCATCGCCCATCCTGTCTTGTTATAAATGAATTCCAAATTGTTTCTTCTCAGGTAGAGCAAACCCCCCACTAAGGAAACCAATAAGGCCAACGCGATTGTGCCAGAGTAGTTTGGAGGTCTAAACACGCGAATCTGTGAAAACAAAAATGGAAAATACAAGCTGACAACTCTCCATGTGTGACTCAGATTCTGACAATGTTCTTCCCGGTTACATCGGTAATTGATTTCATTTACTTGTTCTACTTGAACCTTAGTCTACCCCTTCTGGCTCAACCTTTCACCACCAATAAGAAGCTAGGAGAACCATAGATCTATAGAAAGGCAGGAATAGGAGCAAAAGGTAGCTAGACAGGTAACGCCTGAGTAATTTAGACTGAAAATACAAACATCTATTATGTTTAATCTTTCACTCATCCTTGTTTCTGCATCTGAACTTCAAACAGAATTTATATGAGAGCTGTTCTTATTTGGCCTAAATACATATCCATTAAATATTAACATTTTATCTGTAAGACGCACTCAAATTTGTGTAAACAACTGCATACGTTCTCAGTTCTTTTCAAAACTTACCAGGAAAGGTTAAAGGACCACTCTAGGCACCCAGACCACTTCAGCTTAATGAAGTGGTCTGGGTGCCAGGTCCTTCTAGGGTTAACCCATTGTTTTATAAACATATCAGTTTCAGAGAAACTGCTATGTTTATGAATGGGTTAAGCCTTCCCCCATTCCCTCTAGCGGCTGTCTCACTGAGAGGGTAGTGGATGCATGGAATAGCCTTCCAGCTGAAGTGGTAGAGGTTAACACAGTAAAGGAGTTTAAGCATGCGTGGGATAGGCATAAGGCTATCCTAACTATAAGATAAGGCCAGGGACTAATGAAAGTATTTAGAAAATTGGGCAGACTAGATGGGCCGAATGGTTCTTATCTGCCGTCACATTCTATGTTTCTATACCACCACAACTGCCCTATCAGATGGAAGATACCTGTAAAATGGTTGACTTTTATTATGATTTGCTTAAGGCAAAAGTGACTATGCACAAAACGTTTTTCTGCCTGCGGTATATTAGGTCACCATAAAATGTTATAACTCATTAGCAAAGCCCTGACTAAGAGCATTCATTGACTCTCCCTTGATGATCACAAATGTATAATAAACAGAACTCCAAAGTCAAACAAACCTCTGTGTTTTCTCTCGACTAGGTGTAGAGGGCAGAAAATGACCAGCCTTACTGAATATACAAGGAAAGTATACCTGCACACACTTAAACTATTCAAGTGTTGTGTATGTAAACAATTTTATTAAAAAACAAACAAAAAGTACACTAGCTATAAATGCATGCTAAGTATTTATCTGCTTGGGTGACTTTGGCTAATAATTTGATACATAACATTTACTTCTTTTTATACGTTGATACAACATACGTGAACATCTGTTCTATCCGCAATCCATTTTGCGAGCTGCTCGGCCGCGAAACCAATTCGCTGCAAGTCGAAGGTGTCCGCCCTCTTAGGCTTTCCTTTTGCAGGGAAATGCATAAATGTTGGAGCAGAATTCATATTGAGCTGCAAAATAAGTAAATAAGTAAATTTAAAAAAAAGAATAGAATCAGTAGAGTTCTAGGGAATTTCAAGGGGGGGGAAACGGTGACAGGTTGAAGGCGTGTTTACAGAGCACCCCCCTTCCGGCACTGTCACTCATTGCATTGTAATGTGGCCAATCAATATCACACGGAGCTGTAGGTAGCATGCAGTGGGAGGAAAGGGATGCTGCTGTTTGGACGTCTTAGACTCTTAGTGGCAGACGGGAAGTGGACCCTTCCACTTCCTGTTCAGCCTAACACACAGACACTGGAGGAGCTGGGACAGAAATGGGTTTTACACCCTCTATAACTGTTCCTGCAGCTCTGCTATTAAGGCTGAGTGAGCTACAGAGGACACAGGTCAAGGCCCCTAGTACTTATGTCCCCACCAGCCCAATAATCACATTATAAGTGCTGGAAACAGACGCCTCTTAGTAGCCAGACACCTGTAGGCAGATGCCCACTCTACCCAATGGGAAATCCGGCCCTGATTTAATAGTTATAATCACGTGAATGCACATTGTTTACATTTGAATGTTCAATTAATATTAATGGAGGATTAACAGACACAATAGAGGGAAAGTTGGAGTTATGAGATACTCACAATAGACTGAGGGTGTGTGGAGAGTCACAACCTAATATTTTATATTTCGAGGGGGGAAACACACTATTTCCTCCAGGGCCCAAATATCCTATTGTCTCTGTCTTACAAACACAAACACACAGAACTGTGAACGCTGCAGAGTCATACATTGTATTACACATTGAGGTTCTGTGCGTGAGAGACTGGATTGTGATCAGTCTATATTGATACCACTATACCTTTTATTCCCCGTCATGGCCATATTCATGTAAGCCAGGTATGCTAGAGCTGGGTCTTCCAGGGATGGCTAGCAGTGACACTGCAGACTACAGGACAGGGCTCGACATATCCTAGGCGCCAGGTCACCATGGCAACTAGGAATTTTGTCCTGGATCCTGGATTTGCGAGCCCGTTCAGCCCCTGGGGTAAGATCGTAGTCAGGCAGGGAGCTAATGCACAGTGGAGGCAGGCAGGCGGTTGGCTGAGGTTTGCTCTCTTGTGCGCCCTCCAGTGATGCCTGGAGCCGGAATATGACATCACTTCAGCCCGGGCATCACTAAACAGCGCTCTTGTGAACAGAGTAGGGAAATGACAGCAGCCCCACTGGACACCAGGGAAAGCCAAACCACTCCAGCTCTCCCAAAGCTGGGACGCTGGGTGGACACATTAAAATAAAAAATTGTGAGTGTTACAGTGTGTGTGTGTGCGCCAGTGTGTGAGTGTTGCAGTATCAGTGTGTGCGTCAAATCAGTGAGTGTGTGTCTCTCAGTTTGTCAAATCAGAGCAGGCCCGGACTGGCCATCGGGCATACCGGGCAAATGCTGTCAGTGAGTGTGTATGTCAGTGTGTGCGTCTGGTTAGATGGCCAGCCTACCTGCAATTACATGGCAAAGGTGTTTTTAGTCACCTTTTTTTCCATGCCGTTCCGGTCGCTGTTGGCATCTCCTCCATGGCTCACTCTCGATAACCTCTGCCAATTCAATGCTTTCCCATAGGAAAGCACTGGGAAGCTAAAATGCTGTGCTGTGCCAATCAAGATCTTTTCATAGAGATGCATTGAATCAATAAGTGGAGACGCTGGAGGAAGTGATTGCCACTAGAGGTGTTCCCAGGAAGTAATGTAAACACTGCCTTTTCTCTGAAAAGGCAGTGTTTACATTGAAAAGCCTGCAGGCACAGGCCATAGATACCTGAACAACTACATTAAACTGTATACCGTACATTAAGATGTATACTATTCATAAGCTGTATACTGTACATTAAGCTGTATACCCAGTTGCGTACATACCGCTCGCAGGGGTCACAGCTGCGACCGGGCACATCACTTCAGGGGGCCCAGCCGCCCTGCGGACCCCTGCATCCGGGTACCCGCAGCCAGTGTTGCGGCCATGGCCCGCGCGGCAAACCGCCGGGGCCGCATCTTCAAGGGGCCCATCGGGTGAACCATGCTGTTGAGGCCACCCGATGGATATGGATTTCCAGGGGGCTACGGGCCACTGCTGGAAGGAAGCAACAGCCTCGGTCACTCCTCCCAGCTGTCAGAGAGCCGCACGGGAGGAAGGAGAGGGAGTCAGAGTGGGAACTGCAAATATACCCTCCCTCCCTGCACAGCCCCCTTCCTGCACAGATCTCCTCCCCCTTTACCTCCCTGCACCGCCTACCTCCCTTACAGTTCCCATCCCTCCCCTGCACTGACTCCCTCTCCCCTGCACTGGCAGTCACCCTCCCTCCTTTGCACAGATACCCTCCCTCCCTGCACAGCCCCTCTCCCTGTGCAGATCTCTTCTCCTCATGCCTCCCTGACAGTACCCATGCCTCCCCTGCACAGACCCCTGTCACCCCTCCCTCACATGCACAGATCCCCCTCCCTCACCCTGCACAGATCTCCTCGGTCCCTGCACAGACCCCATCCCTGCACAAATCCCCTCTCCCCCGCCTTCCTGACAGTTCCCCTCCCTGCACAGATCCCCTCTCCCCCTGCCTCCCTGACAGTCCCCCTTCTTCCCCTGCACAAATCCCTTCCCTCCCCTGCGCAGATCCCCTCTCTCCCCTGCAAAGATCCCCTCCCATGCACAGATGCTCTCTCTCCCCTGCACAGATGCTCTCTCTCCCCTGCACAGATCCCCTCTCTACTCTGCACAGTTTCCTCCCTCCCTCCCTCCCCTGCACAGATCCCCTCTCCCCCTTCCTCCCTGACAGTCCCCTACCTCCCTGCACAGATCCCCTCTCCCTCCCTCCCCTGACAGTCCCCTTCCTCCCCAGATCCCTCTCCCCTCTCTCCCTGACTCCCCCTCCCTCCCCTGCACAGATCCCCCCCTCTCCCCTGCACAAATCCCACTCCATCCCTGCACCCTCCATAGCCGCCCTCCACAGACACACTCCCTGCCAAAAAATAAAAGTATATATTTCTTAAATGTGTATAAAAAAAATGTAATTTAATAAGCTGTGTTTCACTCCTAAGTGTTTCCTTTGACACCAAAAAGTAAAATATACTGAAGCGCTTCAGTAACAATATTTATTTAAAGGAACACTCTGCCCAAATGGGCAACCCCCCAACAACTGATAAAATCACTGTTTAGTAGATATGCCCCCAATGAATTTTTCATACATATTTTCATTGGGTGTATATCTTTAAAAAAGCTTGAAAAGGTTGTAAACTGTGTAACTGTGTAAACTTTGTTAGAGGCGTTGAGTACTTAAAAGAGGTATATCTGGTGCAGCCACTGACGTCCGCCACTGCACCGGACATGACGTGACTCGAGATAGGGGTGGCAAACCCAGGGGCAGCCCTCTGGTAGCAAAAGCACTAGCTACACCACTGCTAGTATATCATTTACAATGGTGGACAATCTATACTTTCATTCACCTGCTGGAAAACATCTGCCCCTTCATCGTAGTCCACAACGGTGAAGAAAAGTTTGTTGGAGAATGATGACGAATAGCGCCACGAATTCGCCAGGACTTGGTATTCTTCATTAGCTTGCCTGTTGGTAAAATACACATCAATAAACGCTCATCTGGCTGTGCACATAGTACAGAGAAATGCTGCCCTCTAGTGGTTAATTGTCTATAAACCTACCTTGCATGTAGCGAACTCCGATGACGAAGAATATTAATCTTATTACTTAATGATAACTGATTTTAAACAATGATGTTATGAAAATCTAAATGATTTCAAAGGTTCTCTCGAACTGAGGTGATAAACCTCACAAAATATTCTAACCAGATATTTGGGAAAACCGCAGGACATCACATTCCCAAATTGTGTATCTGATTGTATCAATTATAAATCAGCGCTTCTCATATAAATCAGAAAATCGATTTTCGCACAGATCTTCTCAGAATGCAGAACTTATCCTGCAGCTAAGGATTCTGGGACTTGATATACCTTTAATTTCTGTATCCACTTTATCATATGCTCACCTTCAAAGGACAGCAAAGTCAGGAGGGCACTAGACTTTGAGATTTATTTTGGGCTGAACTGCTACACACATAGTGCCCCCCCACGTGGGCCTTGTTACCTTACTAACCCATCCCCTTTGCAAATGTTCCGACATGCATGTTTCCATGGCAATGACTTTACCTTTCCATCTATAAGCCCAACCCAGTTTTTCTAAACAGGCACACGCTTTCTGACATTTACACACTCTCACTGAGAGAGAAACACTGACAGACACACTCACTGACAGACACTGATACAGACCATCAATGACGGACCACTCCCAATGACAGACTCACAATCTCACTGAGAGAGACACACTGACAGGCACACTCACTGACAGACACACTCACTGACAGATGCACACTCACTGACAGACACACTCACTGACAGATGCACACTCACTGACAGACACACTCACTGACAGACACTGATACAAACCATCAATTAAACAGACGCGCACACTCATTCCTGCTGTGCGCTGTATAATGTGCCAAGGCCAGAATTATATAATATTCCGGCTCCTGTCATCACAGAGGATCTGCTGCCTGCATCCTCTCCTACCCCCCCAACCCTCCTCCCCCTCCTCTCTCTCCCCCCATCATATATCGGCAGAATAGTCAGGTGCCTGCGATTCCTTACTGAATAAGGGCCACTTTGGGAGTGCCCTAAGGTGGCCAGACAGCCACCTCCTGGTCCCCATGTGACAGGGCTCCTCTCGGTGCCCCACAACTTCAGCCGCCCAAGCCCTCTGTACCCGAATTATGGACCACCCAAAACCCACAATGCTGAACTTGTCCAGTTCGGATCAGGATTCCAGAAGTATAAAAAGGGATGATTGATGGTAAAAATAACTTTTAATAGCTAGGAGGCCGAGGGAAAACCAGAATTGGCAGTAAATAAAGTCTATACATATTAGACATTTAATGAATATATAATATAGAATGTTCTGTACTGCTCCCCCTGTTTACCCCTCTGTTGGTTACTTTTCCCATCTGATCTGTGAATCAAACAGCGAGAAAATGCTCCAGTTGGTGTCCTGCAAATATAAACATGATGTTATGTATATATTTTACAATATTGGCGCATTTTCACATTTTTTGTTCTTCAGATTCAGTTCCCAAATCAGACATATGACCGCAAAATGGGAAAATGGTCTGACCAATTCGAATTTTCTAGAGGGCAATGTTTAAAGGGTATAGAATGTAAGCTCGTTTGAGCAGGGTCCTCTTCAACCCATCGTTCCCGTACATTTTTTGTAATTGTCCTATTTATAGTTAAATCCCAATGTCATAATATTGTAAAGCGCTACGGAATCTGTTGGCGCTATATAAATGGCATTAATAATAATAATAATAACACAGGTTAAAGGTCAGATTGTGTCTGATACATTGCCACCTCTCAAGACACCATCCAAAAGATCAGTGGTATCATTTTTATAATACATATAATGATGTATATCTTGTAATTTCATACCAATTATATAATAGATATAATCATTATAGCGCGTAAACTCGTACCATTTATGTAAACCATATACATTGTTTATATTTCATAATCTAGTACTATTCATGTAATAGTATAAGGAATATCATGTAAACTCTTACTATTTATGTAATTTGTATAATAATTTATATCACGTAAACTCGTACTTATTATGTAATCCATTTTAGAATTTATATCTCATAATCTCATACTAGTTATGTAATATGTATTATAATTTATATCTCATAATCTCGTACCATTTATGTAATAGTATAATTATTTATATTTTATAATCTTGTAATATTTATGTAATACGTATAATAATTTATATCTCGTAAACTCGTACTGTCAGACCCCCGCTCCTTTGTCACCTTACTGCGCACTCCCACACAGCATCTCCCTTTCTTTTAATGAAGGCGCCGTTTCGGAGCATCCCAGGAACGGCACCACGGATCGGAGTCTGCCCGCTCCACTCACACATTGGCAGAGGGGCAAAGCAACAGGAGGGACCTTTGGCGCACGTGCCGAAGCAACGCCTTCTGAAATGGACAGTGGGCATAACTGTCAAAGGGGCGTATTTAGAAGGCGGAGTTGAAGTAAGTCGACATGCCTCTTTTCCATATTTAAACTCCTCTGCTCCTAGACTCATTTCTCAGGTATACTGTGTGCCTATGATGGTGATACCTTCAGTGCCTGTCCTGTTGTTTTCCTGGTATTTGACCCTTTCCTGATTCCCAACTACGATCCTGTGCCGCCTGACCTTTTGGCTTTCCTGACTATTATTCGTTTGACCCTATTGAACTGCGAACCTGATTTTGTGCTTATGGCAATTTTCGGTATCATTGGCTTCATCTATTAAACAGTGTCCTAACACGTACCATTTATATAATACATATGATAATTGACATCTCCTAATCTTGTACTATTTATGTACAACGTATAATATTTATATCACAAATTAAAGACTGTTTTCTTATCACTATTCAAAGTTCATTCTTACCCTTTTCTGCAAGGGACCCCAATTATAAGCATGGTATTAGTCTGCAACACGTTTTTTAATTGAATAATCAAGATAAGTGGCCCTAATGACTCATGGGAAACATAGTCTTCAACAAATGCAGTGCCAGACATTAGCCATCATTTGTCTCTGGACCAAAAGGACGAAGGATGCAGAGGGTTTAATAGCAGATGGGCCATAGAATCGCCAAAAAAAAAGGTTCGCAAAGTGCCTTATTACGACATATTGCAATTAAAAATAATTATAGCATTTTTAAAAAAAATAGTATTCATTTCAATTTATTTACTTTTTTAAGTTCATCCTGGGTTATTTCCCAACTCAATTACTTATTACTTATTTTATCGACCGCAGAAGTATGAAAGGTTCAGTTGAGCCTTCCAAAAAGAAAAGCTGTTTTAACTAGTACTGCAGTTGTTACATTAACCAAGTGAGCTATCTATCCAGTTAAAAGTACAATCATTTAAATTAAATAAATAAATAATAATGAGGTTTTTATTTTTCTGATAAGGTTACTAGATACTTTACCTGCAAACAGAACATTGCCTCTGAGGCTGGAGGGCAGTAAACATCACTATCACTGAATAGTTACGCGGAGGCGCTTTCACTAATCTCCGAAATTTATCGCCATTCATACGGATGACGGACCGTCGCGAGCTCCACTCCATCATCTGCTCCACCTTCTCACTCAATAGATTCTAGAATGAAAAAAACATCTAATAATTTATCATTGACACAGTATAAAATTATACAGCAGCTACACTGAAAGATTATTGTATCATTGGATAGTTACATAGCTAAAAAGAAACGTGTCCATCAAGCTCAGCCTTTCTCACATTTGTTTTTGCCATTGATTCAAAATAAGGACAGTTTGAAGTGCTTTCAATTTTGGAACAAACTAGGAAACAAAATTCCTTCCTGACCCCTGAATGGCAGTCAGATATCTCCTTGGATCAAGAAATTATATCCCTTTATATACCTGTACATTATGTTTTTGCAAGTATTTATCCAATTGCTGTTTCAACATCTGTATAGACTCTGATAAAACCACCTCTTCAGACAGAAAATTCCACATCCTCATTGTCCATACTGTAAAAAAAAAATTCTTTGCCATAGACTAAATCTCCTCTCTTCCAGTCTAAATGCGTGACCTTGTGTCCTGTGTATAGTCTTGTTTATGAACAGATTTCCAGACAATGGTTTGTATGGTCCCCGGATATATTTATATAATGCTATCATATCCCCTCTGAGGTGCTGTTTTTCTAAACTAAAGAGGTTTAAATTTGTTAACCTTTCTTCATGACTAAAATGCGAGACATTTCTGAGAAATTTTAGGCTTCTTACGAATAACAATAGAACAGAAACAATGTATCTTATTTACACAGACTGATTTCTTAAGACATTTATTATAGTTTAAAGACATTACTGGGAGTATAATTGCTGTGGAGCTCTGTCATACACTCAGACACATTACTGGGAGTATTATTGCTGTGGAGCTCTGTTATACACGCAGACACATTACTGGGAGTATTATTGCTGTGGAGCTCTGTTATACACTCAGACACATTACTGGGGGTATTATTGCTGTGGAGCTCTGTTATACACTCAGACACATTACTGGGGGTATTATTGCTGTGGAGCTCTGTTATACACTCAGACACATTACTGGGAGTATTATTGCTGTGGAGCTCTGTTATACACTCAAACACATTACTGGGAGTATTATTGCCGTGGAGCTCTGTTATACACTCAGTCACATTACTGGGAGTATTGTTGCTGTGGGGCTCTGTTATACACTCAGACACATTACTGTGAGTATTATTGCTGTGGGGCTCTGTTATACACTCAGACACATTACTGGGAGTATTATTGCTGTGGAGCTCTGTTATACACTCAGACACATTACTGGGAGTATTATTGCTGTGGAGCTCTGTTATACACTCAGACACATTACTAGGAGTATTATTGCTGTGGGCTCTGTTATACACTCAGACACATTACTGGGAGTATTATTGCTGTGGAGCTCTGTTATACACTCAGACACATTACTGGGAGTATTATTGCTGTGGAGCTCTGGTATACACTCAGACACATTACTGGGAGTATTATTGCTGTGGAGCTCTGTTATACACTCAGACACATTACTGGGAGTATTATTGCTGTGGAGCTCTGTTATACACTCACACACATTACTGGGAGTATTATTGCTGTGGAGCTCTGTTATACCCTCAGACACATTACTGGGAGTATTATTGCTTGGGAGCTCTGTTATACACTCAGTCACATTACTGGGAGTATTATTGCTGTAGAGCTCTGTTATACACTCAGACACATTACTGGGAGTATTATTGCTGTGGAGCTCTGTTATACACTCAGACACATTACTGGGAGTATTATTGCTGTGGAGCTCCGTTATACACTCAGACACATTATTGGGAGTATTGATGCTGTGGAGCTCCGTTATACACTCAGACACATTACTGGGAGTATTATTACTGTGGAGCTCCGTTATACACTCAGACACATTACTGGGAGTATTATTGCCGTGGAGCTCCGTTATACACTCAGACACATTACTGGGAGTATTATTGCTGTGGAGCTCTGTTATACACTCAGACACATTACTGGGAGTATTATTGCTGTGGAGCTCTGTTATACACTCAGACACATTACTGGGAGTATTATTACTGTGGAGCTCCGTTATACACTCAGACACATTACTGGGAGTATTATTGCGGTGGAGCTCCGTTATACACTCAGACACATTACTGGGAATGTTATTACTGTGGAGCTCTGTTATACACTCAGACACATTAACAATATAGAGCTCCTAGAAAAGAGGGACATTAGGAGAGAAAAGAGGGACAGTGGAATTTGGGCCCAACACAAGGACTGTCCCTCCTAAATAAGGACACTAGGCAGGTATGGACAATGTTATAATTATATAATAAGGTATAGTGATTTTAATTCTTTGATTGACCCTTTGAAGACTGAAGACCACATAGCAGTCAGTTTTTAAAGGAACATTTTACAGAAAATCTTAGCATTAAAAAAAAAACAGTCTAACCTGTAGAATGACAGCATGCTCACATAATCTTAGTCTTAACGGATAACAATATCTTATTACTTCTATTTCTAAAAAATGTGCAACACACGAAAAGGACTTGGGAATTGTTATAGACAACAAACTATGCAACAATGTGCAATGTCAATCAGCAGTGGCCAAGGCCAGTAAGGTATTGTCATGCATGAAAAGGGCATTCATTCTCGGGACGAGAATATCATTTTGCCTCTTTATAAATCACTGGTAAGACCCCATATTGAATATGCTGTGCAATTTTGGGCACCTGTTCTAAAGAAGGATATTATGACACTAGAAAAAGTGCAGAGGCGAGCTACAAAATTAGTAAAAGGAATGGAACATATCGGCTATGAAGAAAGGTTAACAAATTTAAACCTATTTAGTTTAGAAAAACATCGCCTGAGAGGGGATATGATAACATTATACAAATATTTTCGGGGCCAATACAAACCATTGTGTGGAAATCTATTCACAAACCGGACTTTACATAGGACACAAGGCCATGCGTTTAGACTGGAAGAAAGAAGATTTCCGTCTAAGGCAAAGGAAAGGTTTTTTTACTGTAAGAACAATCAGGATGTGGAATTCTCTGCCTGAAGAAGTGGTTTTATCAGAGTCCATACAGATGTTCAAACAGCTACTAGATGCATACTTACAAAAACAGAATATTCAAGGATATAATCTTTCAATGTAGGGTAATAACTGCTTGATCCAAGGATAAATCTGACTGCCATGCTGGGGTCAAGAAGGAATTTTTTTCCTAGCTTGTTGCAAAATTGTGCTTCAAACTGGGTTTTTTTGCCTTCTTTTGGATCAACTGCAAAAAACAAATGTGAGGTAGGCTGAACTTGATGGACGCAAGTCTCTTTTCAGCTATGTAACTATGTAACTGTAACGTCACCCCCAGGCTTAAAAGGGGTAAAAACCGCCATTTAGTAGATCTTCCCTTCCAGAGACACAGGCACAGCTACTGCAGAACACCAATCCGCAGAACAGGAAACCATATGAATGCTGTAAACAGCCGAATAGGAAAAACCATACCAATAGGTTTACACTCCTAGCAGTCAAACTGGAACAGCATACAATAAATCCCCCCAAGAACGAGACAAAGCTCCGTGTTGAAGGTCAAGCAGTGAACAGACAGAGCTGTGGGTTTATTGTGCTTATGTACACATTCTTACACATTAGTACCACCCACAGGGTTTTGGAACACAACCAATAAACACATACAATACACTCAGACACTCCCACACAAAATCCTCCCCTCTGCCTGTGATACAATTACCTTACACAATGGGTAATGTAATTATAACAAGCAGAGAAATACATGGAGGAGAAGGACATGGAGAGAAGGGGGACATGGAGAGGGGAAAGGGACATGGAGAGGAGGGGAACATGAAGAGGAGAATGACATGGAGGAAAAGGACATGGAGAGGAGGGGGGCATGGAAAGGAGGGGGACATAGATGGAATTGGTAAGTGGACATGGAGGGGAGGGGGATATGGATGGAATTGGTAAGGGGACATAGAGGGAGAGGGGGGACATGGATGGAAGGGGGAGACATGGATAGAAGGGGGGGACATGACTGGTAGGGGTACATGGAGGGGAGGGGAAAGGGGACATGAAGGGAAAAGACATGCATGGAAGAGGTAGCAGGACATATAGGGGCAGGGGACATGAATGAAAGGGATAAAGGGACATGGAGGGGAAAGAGAGAGAGACATATATGGAAGGAGGGATGTCACCCTCCCACGTACACTGTCACCTTCCCACACACACTGTCACCATCACCACACATTGTCACACTGTCACCCCCACTGGAGGCAGAGAGGCTAGTGGCAGAGAGATGGCACAGAGAGGCTAAGGGCAGAGAGATGGCACAGAGAGGCTAGTGGCAGAGAGATGGCATGCATAGGCTAAGGGCAGAATGGCATTGGTAGGCTGTTTGGAGGCACATATGGCTTATTGGCATGATATACAAATTTTATGAATTTATTGCTCTTTGGCATGATATTCCTAGTTTATGTATTTATTGTTCATTGCATGGTATACCTAATTTTTGTATATTCTGCTCATTGGCAAGATATACAAAGTTTATGCATTTAATGCATTAATAGCATTCCCTTTGCCCCCCGGGATATATATGTGTGACTGTGTCGATGTGCTTGTGTGTGTGTGTGCATGACGGGGGAGGGAGTAGTAGGGGGTGGAGGCAGCACATTGTCTCGGGCCGGTCCTGTGGATTTGGAAACATATAAAAAGTCAGAACTGGTTACTAATATTTTTGAACCCCACTACTGGTTCTGGCTAGACTAACCTTTTCTGAGCTGGCAATCCCCCCCACAGAGAACAGGGAGATCGGACTGAGGGGAGGACAAAAGAGGCATGCTGGGAATGCCGTTCTATGACTGGTTGTCTGGCGTCAGCATGATGGACGTGCTGGCGTCAGACTCCAGTTTTGCACAAAATTCCTATCAGCCAGCACAGAACAACGTTCAACAACATTTGAAGACGTTGCCAGAGATGAAGTTACAACTCCGGCAGCTAAGGGGTTAAACTATTTCTATGTGCATCGTTTCAAATCGAAATGCTCCACGTAGAGACTCCAGGCACCATGACCACTTCAAATCATTGAAGTGCTCATGGTGCTTGGAATAACCCTCTAAGCTAACCTGTAATTTTTTTTACATTTAATCTAAAGCAGTAAAGGTACAACATCCGGTTTATTATAAAAACGTAGTGTATATTACAAACTATTGTATGTACAGACAGAATACAGATAAATTATACTGGAATACGTGAAATGCATTTTGTTAAAAGACGAGAGCACAGACTCCCAGTGGATATGTTATGTTCACATATGAAGTGGAATTATTTTTTTTATGAAAATTTTATATAACGAATATAGACAAAATTACAATTTCACAATTTGTGAATAAGGAGAAGTTTCTGTTTGCGTAAATAACTAAAATAATTTAACCTTGCGCAATAAATGAGTAAACGGTGTAATATGTATTCCCAGGGAAAGGGGCAATCCTTGGAGGGCTATTAAATAGGAAAGAGACATTCTGATACATAGTATCACCATAGCAGCAGAAACAAATACAACCAGCTTAACCATTGAATGACCACAAACCTCTTTCTTCTTCTGCCCCCCTCCATACTCCAGGCACAGAGTCAGGATCAGAAAAGCCTTAACAATCAGCAAACGCTTCATTGATGCTTTAGTGTTCCACGCCATCATTCTCTAAAACCACATCCCCATCACCACCTGCTTTATGGTTATCAGCTTAGTCATTGGCCACAAAAACAGCCAATCAGTGCAAAAGGAGGAAGCAAAGCATGACTGTCATTGTAGTTTTTACTCATTCATCAGGGCTCTGCGTGAGCAATGGGATATTATTCTACCTCGAATCAATTGAACACTGGCGGTGGTTATACACTAAAGTGTGCAGTGTCAGGAACTCAAATGTAGTCCACGGGGAGTTTAAATATTTATCTGAACTGAAAGTACAGCGACTACAGAGACGGCCGCTATATTCCTCGTTTCTGTGCAGTGTAGATTGCACGTTGTAATGAAATGATTGTAAACTGACGCAGAGAGGAGAATTCTCCAAGAATTTCAGACAATTCACAATTGACTGAACAACTCTGTTATACTGTGTCGCAAAGGATTGGAAATTCTTAAAGAGTGCGGCACAAAAAACAATGGAAGACATAATTTGGGTTTAAACAAGCGGGGTAAAATGTTCCATTCACCTCCTTTAATTAACCCTCAATCTGCTACTCATTGCGTGAGTGAATAGGATAGCGGCATGGCCCAGGCTTTCTTTGGTAATATGAGTGAAACCCTGTCAAGGTGGAGCACGTCGACGCCACGTTGGAATGTGACCTGGTGTTGCGTGCCTCCATTCATCTCCAGGCCCTACACTGTCCAGCCGCGGCCAACGCAACACTGACCAACACACACACACTCACTGACAGACACACACTCACACTCACTGACAAACACACACTGACAGACACACACACACACTGACACACTCACTGACAGACACACACTCATAGACACACTAACTGACAGACATACAGACACTCACTGACACACACACAGACTGACAGACACACACACTCACTGACACACTGACAGACACACAATCACTGACAGACACAAACACACATACTCATTCTGACAGACACACACTGACACACTCACTGACAGACACACACTCATAGACACACTAACTGACAGACATACAGACACTCACTGACACACACACAGACTGACAGACACACACACTCACTGACACACTGACAGACACACACTCACTGACAGACACAAACACACATACTCATTCTGACAGACACACACACACACACTCACTCTGACAGACACACACGCACACACTCATTCTGACAGACACACACACACACTCTGACAGACACACACGCACACATTTTTCACATTCTTGCACACACTCAAATTATTGTATTCATCCCTGGGGTCCAGTGGGGATCTTCTATCTGGTGCTCAGCCTTCCTGCTCCCCACTGCTCCCTTGCGCGTAGTTTAGTGATGCGTCATATTCCGGCACCCGACATAACTACAGAGGGCGCGAGGAGTTGACTGTAAAAATACAGTCAAAGTATATATAGGAAAAATATAGTGTACTCACCAATTGTGATTAACTCCCTCATCCTTTCACTCCGAACCCAGAAGTGTATACCGATCATCACGTGACGTGTGTAGTGCGTGATGACGTGACCGCAGTGAACGTGGTTGCTAGGAGACCAATATAAACAATAAACGATGGGTCTAGTATCATTCTGTGTAGCGTGTGTAATGTGAACTAAGTGTGGCAGTATATTAATTACAGTGTTATAAGTATAGATATTATGAATATCATTAAGAATCACTTGTAGTGCATAAGTGAGTGAATGTGTTCCTATAACGGCATACGAACAAATATGTTATATGTGTGTGACAACCCAAAGTGCCAAACTAGTGACCAAATACCAAAGTGATGCAAAACTATACAAAAAGATGTACAAAAAATTATATATAATTACGTCGTGCCAACCACGTGATCGCTCCGAAACCCGGAAGTATCTGCCTGCGGTGGCTCAATCTGAAAATCGGTGGATTTCAGCCAAATACTCTGCGACAGCACTTTGTAGATATCTCCTGCACGGGTGAAAAGAGCCTAATAATCACTTTGTGTGATTATTTTAATGTGTATCTACAAATAAAAATATTCTTGAAGGATCCAGCTGCTGTCCTGACTCTGAAAAGGTCTCTTAGTCCTGAGATAAGAGGACTTAAGCCAGCAACGTTAGAGCAGACTTTTACTGCTCTACCATTGTGAGTGTTATTCATCCTTATTTTATTCTATACATTTTATTACATACTACCCTATGTTTTTTTTCTTGTGCTTGTTTTATATATATCACCCCGAGGGGCAACCAGTGCCATTTTTGCATTTTCCAGCTACTATTTGTAAGTCTGAATTTTTTTTATATAAATTTTCACGTGTTGCACATTGCACATGCACCTTATAATACAGATATATCATATGGTATGATATTCTATGGTTTACACGTACTAAAGTGTTTTAAAGGTATAGCGCACCTTATTTCTGGATTGTATACTTGGTGGTGTTTTGAGCTATTTCTCACCTTAAGGTGCAGCTTTATAATTAAGAACATTGCCTCACTTCTTAAAGGAAATAACCTTTTTTTTACTATCACTGTAATTGCATAGCGCCTTTCTTTTGCTTGTATATAATTTTTTATACTGCATTATAATATATATAATCAGTACAGACAGTGTATAATAATATTATAATATATATAATCAGTGCAGACAGTGTATAATAAGATTATAATATATATAATCAGTGCAGTCAGTGTATAATAATATTATAATATATATAATCAGGGCAGTCAGTATATAATAATATTATAATATATTTAATCAGTACAGACAGTGTATAATAATATTATAATATATATAATCAGTACAATCAGTATATACTATATATCATAATATATATAATCAGTGCAGACAGTATATAATAATATTATAATATATAATCAGTGCAGTCAGTGTATAATAATATTATAATATATATAATCAGTACAGGCAGTGTATATTAATATTATAATAGATATAATCAGTGCAGACAGTATATAATATATTATAATATATATAATCAGTACAGTCGGTGTATAATAATATTATAATATATATAATCAGTGCAGACAGTGTATAATAATATTATAATATATAATCAGTACAGACAGTGTATAATATATTATAATATATATAATCAGTACAGACAGTATATAATATATTATAATATATATAATCAGTGCAGTCAGTATATAATATATTATAATATATAATCAGTACAGACATTGTATAATAATATATTATAATACATATAATCAGTACAGACAGTGTATAATAATATTATAATATATATAATCAGTGCAGACAGTGTATAATAATAGTATAATATATATAATCAGTGCAGACAGTATATAATATATTATAATATATATAATCAGTACAGACAGTATTTAATATATTATAATATATATAATCAGTACAGCCAGTGTATAATAATATTATAATATATATAATCAATACAGTCAGTGTATAATAATATTATAATATATATAATCAGTGCAGACAGTGTATAATAATATTATAATATATATAATCAGTACAGTCAGTGTATAATAATATTAGAATATATATAATCAGTACAGTGTATAATATATTATAATATATATAATCAGTGCAGTCAGTATATAATATATTATAATATATATAATCAGTACAGTCAGTTTTTTCAATATTATAATATATATATAATCAGTACAGTCAGTATATATTATAATATATATAATCAGTGCAGACAGTATATACTATATTATAATATATATAATCACTGCAATCAGTATATAATATATTATAATATATAATCATTACAGACATTGTATAATAATATATTATAATATATATAATCAGTACAGACAGTGTATAATAATATTATAATATATATAATCAGTGCAGACAGTGTATAATAATATTATAATCTATATAATCAGTACAGACAGTATTTAATATATTATAATCTATATAATCAGTACAGTCAGTGTATAATAATATTATAATATATATAATCAGTGCAGACAGTGTTTAATAATAGTATAATATATATAATCAGTGCAGACAGTATAAAATATATTATAATATATATAATCAGTACAGACAGTATTTAAAATATTGTAATCTATATAATCAGTACAGTCAGTGTATAATAATATTATAATATATTTAATCAGTACAGTGTATAATAATATTATAATATATAATCAGTGCAGACAGTGTATAATAATATTATAATATATATAATCAGTGCAGACAGTGTTTAATAATAGTATAATATATATAATCAGTGCAGACAGTATAAAATATATTATAATATATATAATCAGTACAGACAGTATTTAAAATATTGTAATCTATATAATCAGTACAGTCAGTGTATAATAATATTATAATATATTTAATCAGTACAGTGTATAATAATATTATAATATATAATCAGTGCAGACAGTGTATAATAATATTATAATATATATAATCAGTGCAGACAGTGTTTAATAATAGTATAATATATATAATCAGTGCAGACAGTATAAAATATATTATAATATATATAATCAGTACAGACAGTATTTAAAATATTGTAATCTATATAATCAGTACAGTCAGTGTATAATAATATTATAATATATTTAATCAGTACAGACAGTGTATAATAATATTATAATATATAATCAGTGCAGACAGTGTATAATAATATTATAATATATATAAGTCAGTACAGGTAGTGTATAATAATATTATAATATATATAATCAGTACAGTCAGTATATATTATAATATATATATTCAGTGCAGACAGTATATAATATAATATATATAATCAGTGCAGTCAGTATATAATATATTATAATATATAATCAGTACAGACATTGTATAATAATATATTATATATATATATATAATCAGTACAGTCAGTGTATAATAATATTATAATATATATAATCAGTGCAGACAGTGTATAATAATATTATAATATATATAGTCAGTACAGTCAGTGTATAATAATATTATAATATATATAGTCAGTATACTCAGTGTATAATATTATAAAATATATCATCCGTACAGACAGTGTATAATAATATAATAGCTATATAATCAGTGCAGACAGTGTATAATAATATTATAATAATGTATATAATCAGTACAGACAGTGTATAATAATATTATAATAGCTATATAATCAGTACAGACCATGTATAATAATAATATTATAATATATATAATCAGTACAGACAGTGTATAATAATATTATAATATATATATAATCAGTGCAGACAGTGTATAATAATATTATAATATATAATCAGTGCAGACAGTGTATAATATTATAATAGCTATATAATCAGTACAGACAGTGTATAATAATATTATAATATATAATCAGTGCAGACAGTGTATAATAATATAATAATATATAATCAGTAAGGTCAGTGTATAATAATATTATAATATATATAGTCAGTACAGTCAGTGTATAATAATATTATAATATATATAGTCAGTATACTAAGTGTATAATATTATAATATATATAATCAGTACAGACAGTGTATAATATTATAATAATGTATATAATCAGGGCAGACAGTGTATAATAATATTATAATATATATAATCAGTGCAGACAGTGTATAATATTATAATAGCTATATAATCAGTACAGTCAGTGTATAATAATATTATAATATATATAATCAGTACAGACAGTGTATAATATTAATATAGCTATATAATCAGTACAGACAGTGTATAATAATATTATAATATATATAATCAGTACAGTCAGTGTATAATAATATTATAATATATAATCACTACAGACAGTGTATAATAATATTATAATATATATAATCAGTGCAGACAGTGTATAATAATATTTTAATATATATAATCAGTACAGACAGTGTATAATAATATTATAATAATGTATATAATCAGTGCACACAGTGTATAATAATATTATAATATATATCATCAGTGCAGACAGTGTATAATATTATAATAGCTATATAATCAGTACAGACAGTGTATAGTAATATTATAATATATATAATCAGTACAGTCAGTGTATAATAATATTATAATATATATAATCAGTACAGTCAGTGTATAATATTATAATATATATAATCAGTACAGTCAGTGTATAATATTATAATATATATAATCAGTGCAGACAGTGTATAATAATAATATAATAATATATATAATCAGTACAGTCAGTGTATAATAATATAATATATAATCAGTGCAGGCAGTGTATAATAATATGATAATAATGTATATAATCAGTGCAGACAGTGTATAATAACAATATTATAATATATAATCAGTGCAGGCAGTGTATAATAATATTATAATGTATATAATCAGTGCAGACAGTGTATAATAATAATATTATAATATATAATCAGTGCAGTCAGTGTATAATAATAATATTATAATAATGTATATAATCAGTACAGTCAGTACAGTGTTACTGTCTATATTCTGCCATTATAGTGAGTTAGACCCAGCAGTACAGGCTCAGCTCGCTCTCTGATTGGCTGCACGCCTCGGCCCTCGCATTGCATGACGGATGTTGTAGTTCAGGTTCCCGCCATAGCCACTGTGCTTCATACGTGATGACGTCAGACGGAACTCCAGCCAATGACTGCGAGGATTGTTGCACCCTGCCCCTTCCATACCCGAATGGCTGCTGCAGGTAGAGGAGGAAATGCCGAGCGGGAGGGAAACGGGGAGTCCGGGGGGACATTTTTACTGACTGCCGGGGGAGGGAGGGGGGCTCTCACTGACTGCCGGGGGCGAATACTGTGTGTGGGATATAGTGTGTGTGTGTGTTACTGTGTGTGGGATATAGTGTGTGTGTGTTACTGTGTGTGGGATATAGTGTGTGTGTGTTACTGTGTGTGGGATATAGTGTGTGTGTGTCACTGTGTGTTACTGTGTGTGGGATATAGTGTGTGTGTGTCACTGTGTGTTACTGTGTGTGGGATATAGTGTGTGTGTGTTACTGTGTGTGGGATATAGTGTGTTACTGTGTGTGGGATATAGTGTGTTACTGTGTGTGGGATATAGTGTGTTACTGTGTGTGGGATATAGTGTGTTACTGTGTGTGGGATATAGTGTGTGGGATATAGTGTGTGTGTGTGTTACTGTGTGTGGGATATAGTGTGTGTGGTGGGATATGGTGTGTGTGTGGGATATGGTGTGTGTGTGGGATGGGTGTGTGTGTGGGATCTGGGTGTGTGTGTGGGATATGGTGTGTGGGATGGTGTGTGTGTGGGATGGTGTGTGTGTTGGTGTGTGTGTTGGGTGTGTGTGTGTGTTGGGTGTGTGTGTGTGTTGGGTGTGTGTGTGTTGGGTGTGTGTGTTGGTGTGTGTGTTGGTGTGTGTGTTGGGTGTGTGTGGGTGTGTGTGTTGGTGTGTTGGGTGTGTGTGGTGTGTGTGTGTGTTGGTGTGTGTGTGTGTTGGTGTTGGTGTGTGTGTGTGTTGGTGTGTGTGGTTACTGTGTGTGGGATATGGTGTGTGTGTGTTTTGTGTGTGTGGGATATAGTGTGTGTGTGTTACTGTGTGTGTGGGATATAGTGTGTGTGTGTTACTGTTTGTGGGATATAGTGTGTGTGTGGGATATAGTGTGTGTGTGGGATATAGTGTGTGTGTGTGGGATATAGTGTGTGTGTGGGATATAGTGTGTGTGTTATAGTGTGTGTGTCACTGTGTGTGGGATATAGTGTGTGTGTGGGATATAGTGTGTGTGTGTGTGTGTGTTACTGTGTGTGGGATATAGTGTGTTACTGTGTGTGTGGGGGAAGGAGAGTGCCTGTGTTAATGTGCATCTGTGTTACTGTGTGTTGTATGGGGTTGAGTGACTGTGTTGCGTAGGAATGAGTGTCTGTTAATGTGTGTTGTGTGGAAATTAGTGTCTGTGTTAGTGTGTGTGTTGTGTGGGAATGAGTGTCTGTGTTATTTGAGGAAAAGTGTTTGTGTTGTGTGTTTGGGCAGGGAAGTGTGGGAAGGAAAGTGTGTCTGTTACTTGTGTTGTGTGGGCAAGAGAGTATGTGTGTGTGTTGTGCTGGCAGAGTGTGCATTTCTGGACTTGTTTAGGAGAAATTGTGTGAGGAAATGCTATGTGAGAGGGAAATGGGCTACATTAAAGAAGTCATTCACTGACTGCAGGGTGGTAAAGGAGAGTGTGCGTTACTGTCTTTGTTTCACAGTGTGTTACTGTATTGTATAGACAGGAAATGTATGTTACTGTGTCCGTTTGAGAGGGTGTGTGTTACTGTGTCTATTTAGGAGAGGGTGTGTATGTTATCATGTTTGTTTAGGAGTGGGTGGGTGTTACTGTGTTTGTTTAGGAGAGAATGTGCATTATTGTGTGAGAAGGACATTGTATTACTGTGTTTGTCTGTACGTTACTGTTTGTAGAAGGGTGTGTTTACATTACACACAGACACAATGTATGCTTCTGGCATCTGAAAGCTCACCAGATCCTACGTGTTTACTGGACACACATACCATTTGTGTTTACTGGACACACATACCATTTGTGTTTACTGGACACACATACCATTTGTGTTTACTGGACACACATTCCTATTGTGCTTTTTGGGCACACATACTTTTTGAAGAGTGTATGGAAACTGCTGGCCTGCAATATGTAGAATTCAAAAGCATTAGGAGATAGTCATTAAAAGAGCACTCCATTGGGGGGGGGAAACTATATAGTAGATATAACCCAGACAAAAGCATGCATGGATTTATTCCCGCATCTTTTTCATTGGAGGTAATCTAAAGCTAGCTTGCACAAGCTGCAGATCTCTTCAGATATATCAGAAAAAGAGGCTGGACCCGGAGCTACCTGAAGGACCAACATTAGTGTCCAAGCTTTCAAAACTAGTTTACTTACCATGGCCAGCACCAGGAAATTCCTGGTACTATAACTATTACAGCACTTGACTGTGTGCCTGAATCTTGAGTTTATTGGACCTTCCTGTTAAAGTAGCTCTGTCACTTTTTGGGAGAGGATCCTGGGCTACTGTGGGAACCTTATACCACAGCCATAAGGCAGCGTAAGGGGGCAATCGACAGAACTTGGAGGTAGCTTCTGTCAAGTTTGACAACTTAGGACTTCAGTCCTTACTTTATCTTAAGAAATCTTTTGACCGCATTGGAATTTCAATGAAATTCTAACACAGTATCCATTGTATATTTATCAAATGTTCCAAAATATTTTGGATGACCAGCCTACTTTAGAAGGGGGGGGGGGGGAAGTAATCTTTTGATGGCCTACTGGACATGTTTGTCGATAAGATTTAAATCCAACAGTAAACAGTTCAGCAGTGCCAAATGTCTTTCAGTTCTTGAAATCCTACATTAGGAGGCACTTAAATTGACGATTGACAAATGTAAACTTTTCTGTTTCTAACAAACAATGTGTTTACATTTGTCAGCGTTCACTGACAAAAAAAACACTGCATTGAGATGTGGTTGTGGTTCTTTGAGTGTCCTATTGGACATGGGATTCACCCACTCTGTAAGATTGTATAGCCCGTGGAGAGGCCTAGGGGCCTGTGATTTGGATCCCTGTAACTAGTGCATTGCAACAATGCGGATTATTCTCTGGTACGGCAGGGGTGATATCATTTATAGTTTATTTGCTGGTGGATGCTAACATTATATAAAATGATTCGGTGTTAGAACTATTGGTTGTGTGTTTAGTTTGCTTGTGTCTACTCTTCCTTCCTTCTGTTTAGATTTTTTTTTTAATGGAAATTAGTTATTCTGATTCGGTTGTTATACTAATGTTACTATGGCATCTAATGTAATTAGTACAGTACATTAATGTTTATACGTCAGTTAAGGCAGGGCTCGACAAATCCCAGGCGCCAGGTGGCAACTAAAAATTTTGCCAGTGTGCCTGGGATTTGTCAACTTTTTATCTAAATAAGCAAATAATGGAGCCGGCCGCCCACCCGTGGGAGCATGGAGGCGGCCGGCTAAGAGAGCGTTGTACCCGGCCGACCTGAGCGTCATGGAGGCGGCCTGCTAAGTGGAGCATCCAGGCGGTCGGCTGGGGCAGCGTGCGAGGAAGCAGTGATCTTCCAGCGGCTCCTCTCTGCTCCCTCGCGCTGTTTAATGATGCCAGGAGCCGGAATATGACATCATTCTGGCCCCGGCATCACAGGGAGCAGAGAGGAGCTGCTTGGTAGATTACTGCTCCCTCTCACACAGGAAGAGAGAGCAGCCCCACTAGACCCCAGGGAACGTCCACTCAGCTCTCCCAAAAGGTAGGGAGGATAAAAAAAAATTTAAATTTGTATTTGAAAAAGTGTATGTCAATGTTTGTGTGTGTGTGTATGTCAATGTTTGTGTGTGTGTGTATGTCTGTCTGTGTGTGTGTGTCTGTCAGTGTGTGTGTGTGTGTGTGTGTGTGTGTGTGTGTGTGTGTGTGTGTGTGTGTGTGTGTGTCTGTCAGTGTGTGTGTGTCTGTCAGTGTGTGTGTGTGTCTGTCAGTGTGTGTGTGTGTGTCTGTCAGTGTGTGTGTGTGTCTGTCAGTGTGTGTGTGTGTGTGTCTGTCAGTGTGTGTGTGTGTGTGTCTGTCAGTGTGTGTGTGTCTGTCAGTGTGTCTGTGTGTGTGTGCGCGCCCCCGTCGGTGTGTGTGTGCGCGCCCCCGTCGGTGTGTGTGCGTGCGTGTGTCTGTTTAGGTACCTGCAATCACAGTTGGTGTTTTTACTCACCCTTTTTTTCCCATGATGTGCAGGTTTTGCCGTGGCTTGTCCCGCCTCCATTGCCGAGTTGTGTGTATGTCTGTCAGTGTGTGTGTGTGTATGTCTGTCAGTGTGTGTGTGTGTGTATGTCGGTGTGTGTGTGTGCGCCTATGTTCCTCTGTCGGTGTATGTGCGGACCTGTGTGCCTCTGTCAGTGTGTGTGTGCGCGCCCCCCTGTCGGTGTGTGTGCGTGCGTGTGTCTGTTTAGGTACCTGCAATCACAATTGGTGTTTTTACTCACCCTTTTTTTTCCCATGATGTGCAGGTTTTGCTGTGGCTTGTCCCGCCTCCATTGCCGAGTTCATTAATCTTTTTGATCTCAGCTAAGACAATGCTTTCCCATAGGAAAGCATTGGGAGGATAAAGCGCATGTTCTGTATGGATAACATTCAGCGCGTCCATGCAGAGCACTGACACAGGACTCTCTAATGGCCGTCTGAGTGACAGCCACTAGAGGTCTTAGTAGGCAACAATGTAAACACTGCCTTTTCTCTGAAAATGCAGCGTTTACATTGAAAAGGTTACAGGAACAGGCTTTAGGCACTAGAACCACTACATTAAGCTGTAATGGTTCTGGTGACTATAGTGCCCCTTTAAAAAACAAACAAAAAAAACCTGGCTCCTAACTTTGTTAGCTGGCTCCTAGATTCCAAACAAATTTGTCAAGCCCTGCTATAATTGCTTAAAGCCTGTAGTCCCATGCTGCTTGCCAGGCCTTAAAAGTTACTTGCCAACGCAAGCCCACAGCATACTCACCAGGGCTAAATTTTCACTCTCCAATGGTTAGTGTAGAGTGAAAGCTTTGAGCCCTGTGTACCTTAATTGCTTTTAAGGCAGGCGGCCATTGCTGAAAGTGTATGTCCCTGACTTTTCCTTTAGATTTATTTATATCTTTGCCCTCTCTATTTCTATTGCTTTTTAAGTGGCTTCCTTTAATGGGACATTTGAAGCAACTTAAAAATAACGTTTAAATACTGGCCATTAGGAACTTTTATTTCTTCATTATTTGGGCTGCAGCAGCAGAGAGAAACACATTTTAGGGTAACACTGCTTGAAAATGTTTGGGGGGTAAAAGTGGGGAAGCTGTACCCAAATAAACCTTGCACCATGGCTTTTGCAATCAGCTGTAACAATACAATGAGCTGCTCTGGTTATGGAACTTGGAGTATGTTTTCTTAGTTGAAGTAAATCTTTGAAACTAACATCTTCCATCCTTTCCATTTGAAAGGTCTCCATGTAGGACGATCTGACACTCCGATGATGAGTATGGGGAAAATGCAGATGGGAGAGAGAATCGTGGATCACGCCATTGAGATTATTTGCCTGCTGACTGGAGAGGTGAGAGCTGTTAGGTCTCTCAGAAAGACCTCGCTCAGTGTGGAATCTAGTCACAGTATACAGTGGAGGGGAAGCAGGCGGAGTTGTACTTGGCAATACAGAGTAGCCAATGGTCTCAAGGCAGGGGCAGAGTCCGTACTTAGAGATAGAAGGATCATAAGAACGAGGCTGACCGATGTTAAGGATGTGCTTGGATATGAAGATTTGGGTGCCCAGGAAAGAGGCTGAAGACAAAGGAGATAGTAGTAATTCCTTGGTATATACAGTGGAGCTAAAGACATGGGGTTTGCTGAAAAATACTACTGACCCAGGGAGAAGTTTCAGAGAGAACTTATGATATGGTTTTGCTCACTGATAAACTACCATTACCCACATAATCCAGAAGCCCTGAAGTTAGTCCTACAACCCTATATTTTGTGGAGCCCTGGAAGTTCTAGATTAGAACATGGGCAGGCAACCTTCGGAACTAGTCCGTCACAAAGCCCCTGCTGCAAAAGGGAGAAACATCTGCTGGGTCATATTTAGGATATTCTGTTATTTGTAGGATTTGTGAAATTCTCTTCTCCAATATTTTGTATCTTTTTTTTAGGTGTCATTATGTCAGCAACTGGCAAAATTAACCACTGTAAACCACGTGAACAAGGATTGCTCCCAAATGAACAAGATGATTGTGAAACACGCTCAGCAAATCATCAGTTTGGTAACCAGAGAGGTGAGGGATGACTGGAGAGCAATAATTTTATATTTCATCAAAAGTATCATATTATTTCTGAGGTTTTATTTTTTTTCTCAGCTGAGCGAAACTCAAGAGGCAGCAATTTCCCAGAGAACCTGCCCCGCAAAGACTTCTCATTGAGCTACATTGGGAAGTCTGTGATTGGACAGACACGGAAAGTCAGAGCGGGGCTAGAAGGGGAGGGTTTGCAAAGACTGCAGAACTGTATATTTACAAGCTGTTTTTAGATATACCCCAAATGAAAAAAAAAAGCATTAATAAATGTAAGCAAGTTTCCATCAGGGGTTTATATACTAAATAAAGATTTAATTATTTTATTTGGCCAGTAAAGTGTCCCTTTTAACATGTCCAGATCTTGTAGTGCTATTTGTTACAAAAATAGAGCATATTTACCAGATCAGCTGTACTTTTATTCTTATTTTTCTGGAAATTTTATGGGAGGTTTCTGGGGGGAAGAAAACAGGGAAAAAAAATTTTGATGGCTTCAAAATGTCCAGGAATTTAACATCTCTGCTCTTATCCCAGAAGCATATATTCATGATGGTATGTCCACCATCTGATAAATAACTCCTGGGCGACTTTTCTTAAATGCACTTACCCATTTCAAGGATCTAATAAGTCTTTTTTTTTTTTCTTTTCAGATACCAGTAAAATGTGGGGATGTTGCAGTTTATTTCTCCATGGATGAATGGGAATATATACAAAGTCATGAAGCACAATGCAAGAATGTTGTAGTAGAAGAAGACCAGATCATTAGCACTTTGACCATTACAGAAAGTAGAAGTCCAGGTAACGACATAGAAGATAGTCCAAAGTGGTCTTCACTAATAGATCAATTTACAAAACATCCAGCCACAAATTATTTATACGTTTCAGACTTGTAGGTCACAGCTGTTTCATTGCATTTCTAAAAAGTAGCATGCAGACTCTGACTCCATGAGACATGGGTAATGCTCAGTAACAAGCTACTACCCACTGAGCCATACATTCAAAACCATGGCTCTCTTAAAGGATCACTATAGGGTCAGGAACACAAACATGTATTCCTGACCCTATAGTGAAAACCCACCCTTCAGGTGGCTTTCTCCTCTGAGTTAAACCTAACAGTGCATGGCTTAGCTCATTGGCTGAGAATTTTTAGCTGACGCTCTCATGAGCATTCACCCCTCCATAGAGGATGGAGATTGCATTAACCTCTGTGATTATTTTCTGATTGCCAGAACACTGTGATGATAGTCTGTCACTACAATCCGCTGGGGTCAAGGAAAGATCTTTAGATGATGATCAGCAATTGGAAGTTGATCCAGACAGCCCTGAAGGTAGGAGTTATAAAATGTTAAGGGTCTTGTTTAATTCTCGCCTCCTGTACAAATCCACTTGCTTTTAGCTAAAAAATTGCAAATAAGAATTATTCACTCATTTTCTTTCAAATTATTTGGAATTCTCTGAACAGGTCTCCATTGTGTATTATTTTTTTTAATTTTATTTAGCCTTGATCGAATCAGTGTTTTTAGTAGAAAAATAGTATATTAACTTTCTGCCCAGTAATCCCTTTCTCTGGAGTAAATCAGCTAGAGCAATGATAGCAAGGATCCCAAACACCAGCCAAGGCTTGAAGCAGGTCCAAACGTTATTCAGCAGCTCACAGGTTTATATACACATTCCCAACATGGGGCCATTAAGGCACACATTGCAATCCCGCCTTGGTGACAGGGATATAATAGAATCGGCACCCAGGTAATTTAATTACCAACCAGACGCAAGCACACCTTACACTAGTTTCTCCAACAACATGTTCCACACACAATATCCCCAAGTGGTGTGCATTCCTGGATGGCTCTGGTTTGGGGGGGCAAACTGTCCAAATACACCTGGATCAGGTGTGTTTAGCCCAAACAATCCTTACACAAATTTTTACTGGGCCTCTGCCTTTTTCCAATCTGGAGCAGATTTCCAGGATGTTTGGTGTGAGGTCTCAGTCACCGACACTGGTTTCCCGTTGCCTCAGAGACCGTGACTAGACCAACCCTAGACAGCTTTCCCAGGGTCCATGAAGCTAGCTGGACAGCATAACTAAGTGCCGTGGATGTCCTGGGGGTGATGGCACAGGAGGGGAGCATGAACACAGTGACTTTAGCTCTTTTGGAGAGTATTTTGCCTTAAGTCCCGCGCCTGTTAACATATTGATCAGTCCGTAACAAAGTTCAACTGTTTTTTTGGTCAAATAGTTGTAAATTATTGTTTAGTGAATAATCCTGAAATATAGACCAGTAAGCAACAGTAATAAACACAATTGAAATATTCCTAATGATGCTGGATATTTGCAATAAATGCCCACCCTGCCCCATACAAAGATGGCAATTTTACACCCTTCCTGATTTGCAGCCCCCTGGAGTTTTCTCGTAGGAAGCAGGGATTGTCTCTTCATGATGTCAGTGACACCCCTGTACTCCCTGGGGAACCCTGCAAGAAGCTGCCAGTATGTATGGATAAGGGGCTATTTAAAAAACATCGCTCTGGAAGAGCATGCATCGAGGTTTAATCCGTTCTGATTGAGTGCCAGCGGGCTTTAACAAGTCCGTGTCAGTGAATAGTAATTCGCAATATGCTCCGTGAGTTACTTTTCTGGATCAGTTTAGTCAGAACACAGTACAGTGTACCTTGAACATTTGTTGCTGTTTTATCTTCTCTGTAGACTTTATTTTATTCTCGTACCTCAATAATTATAGCTATTATGTATGATTTGTTATCAAGTAGTATTTTAAATTAGGTTTATTTGTTATAAGTATTTAATTAGATCATAATATGAGAATTCACTTTATTTTCTATTAATGATACAAATGACTGTGGGTCAGTATTTATTGATTTTATTTTCATATTTTTCTCACAGTTGAAATGGATACTGAAAGTGTGCCGGGTGGTAAACCAACAGAGGATCAATATGTGCAGTGTCTAGTAGAAGATCTCAAGCAGGAAATTTGTATAATCGATGACCCCGGTAAGCAAAAAAAAACTGATTAGTAACAGATTATAATATTGAATGATGCATTATTACGATTTGTGGGTATTTTTTGGAATTCAAAGTTTATTCGTTCAAAAGGTACATACAGTAGTATAAAGCAATGGTTCGAAAAGGTATTGCATCATTTTATATAAGAAAAGCATATGCACTGAGGATATCACACAGTGGCATTGTTTTGCACAATAAAGCAGATCCTGCTATTACATAAGAAAAAGAGGTGAAATATCAAACGTTACGTGTAAAGAAAGCCTAGATACACCAGGGTAATACAACGTTAGTATGGTATTGCATGGGTGTAGGCAGACCTACATGCCAGTAAAGCACTGTATAGGTGAGTATTACTGCACAGTAAGTCGTAGCTTTTTGAAGCGTTACTTGGCCTGAATATGACAATTTGTGTGTTTAGGAACATAACTTCAAGGGTTAGTGCAAACATCATGATCACCTCGGTGGTATCTGGCGTGTGTGCATGCAGCGTTTCGCTATGAAACGCTTTTTTTTTTTGTGTTTGTGTTTAAAATGTTTGTGACAATACGAGTATAGTAAGTTTTAAAACTAAGCTTTGCTGTTGAGGGAGCAGAAGCAAAGCTTGCAGGCTTCCTACGTCCTTCTTTTTACATCAGAATATCTGCATGATGCTAGCCAGTTAGCACTATTCTGGTCAGCTGTTGTTAAGAGTCTCGGTCATGCCATTAACCTTTGTAGCATTGTGTATGGCTTTGTCAACAGCGGGTTTGATTTCTTGTTGCAGATTTGTACTAGGGGTTGCATTGATATGGGCCTCCTATCAGATGACTTGTTCGTTTATACATTCGTTTTTTTTCTTGCTATCCACAGCTCATTTTTCTACAGAAGATAGTTCCATGAGCAGGACTATGTGTGAAGAATCCCAAACAACATCATATACTGTAGATACAGTAGCTGAACAAGATACCAATGGATCTCAAATGTCTCAAGAAGACGCCTCTGAAGTATTTTCACCTAGTGGTTCGGGAGCCTTTGGTAATAGCAGTCTCACCTACCCAGAAGCGTCTAACCATTGTGAACAAAATATTTTTACTCTCGCTGAGAATTATTTTAGCAGCAACAGTACAGGAGCATTGGATTTATCTGTTCAGGAGAAAATGGGCCGAAAGACCAGTTTTAAAAGGGAATCTGCTCTGACTGCTCAACAGTCCCCAAGTAAAGTAGCCAAACCTTTTAGGTGTGATGAATGCGGGAAAGAATTTGAGTACAATTGCCGTCTGGTTGTACATAAAAACACACACACCGGCCATAAACCCTACATGTGCTACGAATGTGGAGACGTCTTCTTCTCGAAAGCAAAGCTTGTTGTGCATCAGAGATCTCACACCGGTGAAAAGCCCTTTGTCTGTAATGAATGTGGCAAACAGTTTGAATATAAATGCCGTCTTATCGTACACCAGAGCTCACACACTGGCGCCAAACCATACAATTGCGAGCAATGCGGAAAGCAGTTTGCATCTAGACCCAATCTTATTGTCCATCGAAGATCACACACTGGAGAGAAACCTTTTAATTGCAACCAGTGCGACAAAACGTTTGCATACCAGTGTCGCCTTCTCGTCCACCAGAGGACACACACAGGGGAGAAACCGCACATCTGCATTCAGTGTGGGAAGCAATTTGCCTCTAGGGCTAGTCTTATAATTCATCACAGAACGCATACTGGTGAAAAACCATATAAATGTAAAGAGTGCGGCAAACAATTTATATCGAATGCTTATCTATCTGATCATATGAGAATACACACTGGAGAGAAACCATACGAGTGCAAAGATTGTGGAAAACATTTTCGCTCAGAGCCCAACCTTGTTATGCACATGCGTAAGCACTCAGCGGAAAAACCGTTTATTTGCAATGATTGCGGAAAGATTTTCAACTTCAAATGTCGCCTTCTTGTGCATATCCGATCACATACGGGGGAAAAAAACCACCGTTGCAATGAATGTGGGAAACTGCTGGCTTCGAGATCAACACTCCTTTCACATCTCAAAACTCATTCTGACGGAAAACTGCACAAGTGCGAAGCCTGTGGGAAACGCTTTTTTTCAGAAGCTCAACTTGAAGAACATTCCAGAACGCACACGGAGGACAGGTATCACAAGTGTAAAGAATGCGGTGAGCGCTTTATTTCCAAAGCTAGACTTATCAGACATCGGAAGGTACATTCTACAAGTGCTATAAAAGCGAATAACTCTAAAGTCGTTTCTCTTAGAGAAAAAAGGAAAAAATACACTTAATTTTAGGTAAAAGTTAATATTTTAAAAATGTTTTCCTCATTTAGGTTTACCTTGTCTTCCCAAGGTGTTACATGCTCTGTTTGCATATTTGTTATTTTTTTCCTTATAATTTCCCATTTATGTTTAACATTAAATGGACCCTATCGCCTACAGAGCAGAAATGTGGAGGATGACATATTGTCTATAAGCAGTGTTGGCAGAAGGCGTGCAAGTGTATAGTGTGAGAGAAAAGGGGGGTGTCTTTCATGTTTTTTCCTGCGTCCTGGGCATAGTTAGCACATGGAATTTAAAGCGGATCTGTCACTTCATGCAAGTCACAAATGCTATATCAGCACATGTATTGCATGCTCCAGTATTCCTTCCATAGTGCAGTATGCGAGCATGGTTCTGAAGGTTAAGGTATTGGACATGGTGTGCCATGGGTTTACTGAGACAGCAAAGCACATAATGCAAATTTAATATATAAAAACTGCTTGGATTTAAAAACAAAAAAAAAGCATGACCCATATTTTCTTGAGCAGATCATTGTGACCGTTCCGCTTTAAAAGAAAGAGAGAAAAAATTCTTTCTGAGATATGACTGCTAAATCCTCATCCACCAAGCTTTAAATGTCTCCTGTAACAATCCTTCTGTAAAGCGTATGGGATATGCTAGAATTCTAGCCATAACTGACAGCACGGGGCCTTTCTAAGAGCTCTTTCTGTAAGCTGTTGCACTTCTCGCTCAGAGGATTGCTCTCCTATATTACTGGTGCTCAATGATAGGAAAAATGATTTAACACCTTAAAAATTGATAAGATAAGAAATCACTGATGTGGTTTATTCAAGGGTCACATTCTGTGTGATAACCAATAGATTATTTATCATTGTCGTAACTGTTTACAGTCTGCTCCAGTTCTCTGTAGTCACTTGCAGCTTGTTCTATGTAATCCAAAGACCCAAGTGTGGCTACAGGTTCTGGGGACAACATACAAAAGTGTATTAACAAAAAATAAACTGTATTAAACAAAAAGTAAAACTAAAGCAAATACAAAGAATAATTGGATGTAACCACTATAAACCCCAAACTTGCAGATTACATACGTAGCATAGTGAACCCCAATGTAATATCCTGCATCTCCAACAGAATTCACAGGTCTTCAGAAAGGTAAATACAAGCATCTTCATTTTAGTCCCTTAGGCTAATGTTTTCAAGATGAGATGCCATACATGTTCAACAAATGTGTATTTACATTTCTGGACAGTCTGTATTAAAGCTTCGATAACAAAAAAGGAAATCCCTAGATGGAAGACTGGCAAATTTCAGCCTCCTGGTGATTACTATAATGCTATGTTGGAGTTTCCTTTACAAACACCCATGAGTGCGTATGTAATTATTAGACAATACTTAATCTGAGTTTCAGTATATTACATTTGGATATGTTGTGCTCTGTCATCTGGAAATGTCATGTTAATACATTACTAAAAATTGCCTTTAATCTTTTACATATTTTTACTTTCTGTTTAACAGACTATTTTAATTTTTTTTAAAGTTTAATTTTGTAGTTGCTGGTTTGGTGCCCTCGGTATTGTAATTTAGGCTTTTTTTTTTTTCTGCTTTGGGAACATGGTCCCCTGGGCTTGAGCGGTGTATCTTTGTTTACGTATATTGTTCTTTCCTCAAGAGTGCCCCTCTGTACTTACTAATATGGTTTCCCATGGACTGGGTCACACAGACAGTGAGGATCTTTTGCTGCAGGAGCAACTGGAGCTTGCCGATGGTTGCTGGTGATTGGATACGTGTGCGTTTCTTCTTCACCGTTACCCACCAAAAAGGCTTATGGTGATTCAGCACCCCACTTACAAAAACAAAACATTTGGATGGCTAATGAAGATGAGACAGCAGGCAGAAGGACAAGATTTTTGCCAGAATCTATTTTTAATTTAATTTTTTAAATAAACACAAAATGTATTGACTGGACCGTTAGCCTCCTTTTAGAGCTGTAGTGGTTATGATGCTTATAAGTGTCCTAAGTATCACTTTAAAATGTCTGAAAATCTTACGTTAAGAGAATTTAAAAAAACAAACTGAATTTTTTTTTTCTGTTTTTGGGGCCAGATACACCTTAACACACCTTAACCTCATTAATACCGATTGATAGCTAGCTCCCTTGTTTAATAGTTAATATGTATATATATTTTTTTTTTCTTCTTGAGTTTTCAACTTCTGAAAGTTCGTTATTCCATATAAGCACATAAGTGATGAGTGCGAGTGTCCCGTCATCCAAGGGGGAGTTTTCATTTCATAATGTGCCTTCTACATGACTGTCTCTGTACAAACCTTGACTTTTGTGTTTCCTTATTAGATTTTCGTTTTGTTAATTTTAGGCTATAACTTATATTTGTTAAATTTCTTTTTGTATATTCTTTTTGTATACAACCATGTTAATGTTTCATATTGAAAGGCCTTACTCTGGAAATAAATACTATGTAAACAGTAATTTTCATCTGCACATTTTAATTACTCTCTACAAAACTTTGCTAAGCTGCCTATAGTTGCAGGATACCATGGAGGTGAAATTCCTCGCCAGCAGCAGTGAGGGTTGGTGGTCCTTGAGGCATAGGAAAACGACTAACTGCTTACTATTAGCTTTAACCCCTTAAGGGCACATGTCATGATTCCCTTTTATTCCAGAAGTTTGGTCCTTAAGGGGTTAAAGGGACACTGCAGTCACCAAAACAACTTTAGCTTAATGAGCAGATTTGGTGTATAGATCATGCTCCTGCAGTCTCACTGCTTAATTCTCTGCCATTTAGGAGTAAGTCACTTTGTTTATGCAGCCCTAGTCACACCTCCCTGCATGTTACTTACACAGGCTTCTCAAACACTTCATGTAAAGAGTCATCTAATGTTTACACTTCATTTACTGCTAATTCAGTTTAATTTAGATTTTATTATCTTCTGCTCAGTTAATAGCTTGCTAGACTGTGCAGTAGCCCCCCGTTTGTGATTAAAGTTCCCTTTCCAGAGCAGGAGATAAAAAAACAAACTTTTAAAGTTAAGTTACATCTGATTTAAAAGTGAAACTTTTTTGTTTCATGCAGGCTGTGTCAGTCACAGCCGGGGGGGTGGCTAGGATTGCATGAACAGGAACAAAAGGAAAAGTTTATCCCTCTTTGTATTCTTTGCGTCATCCTTCTCTCCTCCTCCTGGTTCCAATTATGCTTTTGTCACCCATGATGTGTTGTGCTTTGCCCCTCTGAACTTTATCAAGTGAATTCAGCCATATGGGGCAAGCCTTTTTCTTATATAAACAGAATATATAAATAGGTGAAAGCACACTAAAAAAGAGTAAACATTACCACATACAAAGCAAAGGGTAATCCTGTAATACAAAAGGAGACAGGAAAAATCATAGGGTAATAGTTTAAATAAGTTAAAACCAGTGGATGATTGGTCTCTCACATGCTTCTGAGCCACTTAAATAAGCTGGCTCAGACTAGGAACCTTGAATGGAAAGGTGAAGATGATCTCTGGATTTATTATTGCAGCTTTCTCATTCTCTATGATAAAATCCAGGATGCAGGATACAGAGAAGAAGAATTTATTTAAACAAATATAAAGTGCACAGCAAATAAAAAAAAAAAAATCCAAGTAAAGAGTTCACCAAACCCTAAAATACACTTGACGCGTTTCAGCTGTTGCCTTTTTCAAAAGAATTTACCAACATGAACCATGAATTTCCTCCAGTATTGAACCCATTTATTAGTAGTTAACCAGTTTCAACCACATGATTCTCTCTAGTTTATGAAATAGGCAAAGAAGGACATCAATTGCAACCTAAATGACCTCTAAAGTCACCCAGACGACTTTGTCTCAATGAGGTGGTTTGAGTCCAGTGGTCCTGTCATTTTACCCTACAATGTAAAATATGTCAGGGTTAAATCCACCTCTAGTTGTCTTCCTGATAGCCGATAGCGGCACTTCCACTGCACCGACCATATAACACTCCGTCACGAGAAGCAGAGGCTCATAGAGAAGCATTGGTTTCAATCCTCTCCCTTGAAGCACTGGGTGCATATGTGTTGCTTGCTATGCATGTGCATCGGATCTTTAACACTGCTCAATGTAGAGCACTGAATTGTACGACACCGGCGGAGCCCGTACCTCCTCACTGGTGTTGCGGGAGATGGAGTGGGGAGCAGCGCACAGGGAGTCAGCACTAAAAAAAATAGTAAAAACTTTACTCTATTAAATTTAGTGGGAGGAGGGGGAGCTATATATAATTAGGGATGCCAGATATAGGTTTGTGTTCCTGATGTTAGTGTTCCTTTAACAGAACATGCAAACACTCTAGTATAGCATACTGTAGTGGTTATGGTGTCAGTGCGTTGTGGGGGTTTAAAAAAATAAATAAATTACTTGTCCAAGGGAATTATCTAGTAGCCCGATCTACTTGTCTTAACACAAACGTTTAAATTAAAGAATGTGGAGAACCTGAGTAGACATGGACACTAAATCTGAATGAAAAAATTGCGGTCAAAATAGCCAATGAGGAAAATTACAACAACTCCGCTATATCCAGTACTGGTTATTGTTTCCATTTTGAATTAATTTGCAAACGTTTAGTGTTTCACCTTCTGTCCTCCCCCATAGTGTGTCTGGTGTGTGTCGACTGGGTGTAATGTGGGTGCTGGCTATATGTTGGTGTGTGTTGGCTGAATGCTCGCTGAGTCAGAGTGCATGCTGGGAATACCAGCGGCTGCGCTCTGACCCACGTAGATTCAGCCTCTACTTCCGTCTGTGAGCACTGAAAGTAAGATGCTCACACTGTTCCCCAAACACTGTTTTCTTTATCAGCCCTGCTACTTGCCCACAGGAGGGCTAAACGCCAAAACAAACTGCCTGCCCGTCACTACATGTCCCGGGCGATACAAAACCACGTCCCTGAACCAGTCTTTTTGTGCTGTAGGAGTTCAGATGTCAAGTGAAAGCCAGGAACTCGTTTGTAGGCTGAGAGCGTCAGCTGAGTACTTTCCGCCAATGAATAAGTTCTTTGCACAAAATCAATTTCTGATTTCTACAGCACTTTAAGCCCAGAAGCAGTACAGCAGGCCAGGGAAGTGTAAACCATGCTAAAATGGTTTAAAATGTTAGGGCGAGAAGTCGCCAGAGCATTCCTGGCACCATGACTACTTAAGAAGACTGTAGTGGTTATGATTCTCAGAGTGCACTTTCAGCTTTAAGTGTTTAACCCATGCCGTAGAATAACACCAACTTTAACCCCAGTGAACAAACTCAGCAGCAGAATCCCATCTAATCAGCAATTAATGTACAGTATTCCATCAACAGCTTAATGTACGGTATACAGCTTAATGTAGTTGTTCTGGGGAGTATAGTCAGTTCCTGCAGGCTTTTTTTTTCCCCCAGAGAAAATACAATGTTTACATTAAAGCCTAGGGATACCTCCACTGGCCACTCATGAGGTGGCTGCTAGAGGTGCTTCCTGGGGCAGTGCTGCACAGTGTGACTGACATTCAGTGTCTCCACCCTCTGCATGGAGACACTGTACTTTCCCTATAGAGATGCATTGATTCAATGTATCTCTATGAGAAAATGCTGATTGGCCAGGGCTGCATTTATCTCTGTCTCCTGGTCTGCCTCCTTAGCTGAGATCATCAGAATTGACAATCTCAGCCGATTCAATACTTTCCTATGGGAAAGCATTGTGATTGGCTGGGATTATCACTTCCGATGATGTCAGCTTAGGAGGAGGAGCCAGGGGCAGAGCCAGCACCAGCAGATTGGAATAAAGGTTTTATTATATGCAAGGATAGTGGTTTAAACACTATAGGGTCAAAAATACATGGTTTTTGTTCCTGTGAGCATGCACTGCAATACTGAGAGTAATTTGATCTATAACTCTGTTATAGCTGCGGAAGCACTTCTACAGACAGCCACAGGCGTGTTAACCCTGCAATGAAAACATTGATGATTGTTCCTGCAAAGCGGAAGACTTAATTGAAGCGGTCTTGGAGCCTATATTGTCCCTTTAAATATATTATGTGTGATGTATAATACTAGTGTTAAAGTCATAACCTTTCTAGGCAATTCATTTGCTATTGTTGCTTTAAATAACCCTATTAGCTGCTCTCAGTGAAATCTTCATCATCTTGAATGACATCCCGTACAGATTCAGCCGATCATGTGAGTACGACGCTGTAAATGCAAATCCCACTTACATCTTTAGTTACATCTTTCTGTTTGTGGTTTGTAATTAAATGTCACCCGGCAGCCAAATATTTGTATTTGAATGATATTGTTTGGTTTCAGTAGAATATTTGCATAATTGCTGTATTGTATTTTTACTTTGGCAAACGTCTGCTTGCCTATGTGTTAACACTCCGATTTCCCTTATGCCAATGCTTCGTAGAAATCCTTTAAATTGTCTACTCAATTTTCACCACTAGAGGGGGCTACACATCTGTGGTTATTATGAGCACTTAATGTAACACTTTTTATACAGAACCACATTACAAATTTTACCGCTTACGTACTGTTGAAGACTGAAATATATATAATTACACAGATTGAAACGAACAAAGCGTTAAGTGTCAGTAAAGTTATATGCAATAATGCATGTGAGCTTGTAATCTAAAGCGACACTATCTTTGGATGGGCTAAGTCCTTATCTGGAGCTTTCACAAAAATCCAGGCACCGAAACTGTAAAGTAAAAAGTTGATATTTGTGGAGGAAGCAGATTTGGAGTGCCCCTTTAAACATTATTCCGAAATGCAATCTATTTTTTTGTGGGGGAGCATATTAGATTCTTGCTTTGTTTTGTTGATATTCCTGTTTTGTTTAACCGATATTGACCATCCATTAACATAATCTGCGATAAAATGTTGTTTCCTTTTATTATTCTTTTAAATGCACGATAGGCATATTCACCATTTTTAGTGAATCCGGACCATAGCATAACCTGGTTTATGGACTACATCGTCCGAAATGACCATCTTTATAGTTACCATTACCCAGAGCTCCCATACTACGAATGTCTTACAATCCCTGCTTGCACAAGTCTGTTAAGACCCGATTTATAACAAGTTGAGTCATGTAGTTACTTATTATGCCCAAAACATGTTCCACTTGGCTGCCTGACAAATCGCATTAATCAACATCAGTTTACTATAAGCCCCTTATAATTAAACATTGGGCACAGCATTTTCATAATCTGCGCTATGAATGGTCATCAGGAAACTGTAGGTGTTTTGGGTTTATGATTTTTTGGAGGGTGGTTTTTGGTGGGTTTAAAGGACATAACCTCCCATTTCAGGGCACATACACATATTGTTTATACAGAATAAAGCTGAGGTCATATCTTTTCAGGACTGTGACTCCCACTAATCTCTGCAGTAAAGTCTTCCCCAACCCACTACACGCACATTAACCCCTATACTACCTCCTTATTGACATAAACCAAAGATACATAACAATAT